GCACACTCCTGGGTGAGGTCAGGACACGCATTAGAGACAATACAATTTGCATAGCTGGGCGGTGCTAACTGTCAACCGGAAGGTTCAAATCACATCAACTAAACGTAAAATGTGATTGATACAAGAATGAAACAATTATATTGTCAACCTTTTATAGCATAGAATATGCACTTATGAAGTTTTATGTTAAAGCTTCCTCACGTACGGTAATACATTCATGAAGAAAGTGGGTCGCATCTCGCAACTCGTATCCGCATAACACCCAAAAGGCAGTTCTCATTTCGTCTACCATAGCACTTATTCTGAAAATACAGTTTCAAGCTGGAGCTTAAGGGTATTGTACATTCGTGAGGCATCGTGTGGAGCCACAAGGCTTCCCTTGCAATAATGCGCTTACGTAGTCAGTGGTTGAACGCCCTAATAATTCCATTCTTTGAAGGTAAGTAGTGACTCGGGTTAAGTCGAAACTCATGTTGTTACCAAGATTTATAACATATATACTTTTTACGTTTTTCCGAGATGTATTTAATCAAAAAGTATGGAAAGGGCCTCAGTGAAAATAAAACTTATATTGTGTAGGATTCTTTACAAATTACTGCTTAATGTGGTTTGTTCAGTAATCAGTGGACTATAAATTACCCTATCTTTCTTAGAAACTAATGAGTAAAGTCGACCAGAGAAAACGACTCGTATACACAGACACATCGTCCAGATAAACGAGTACAAATGGGATTCACGTTCTATATAACATGTGCCCTCAGTCTATTACTAAATGTCTTAAACAAAGCGTTATAAGCCATTACAATATAACAATAGTGTTACACAATCAACTTTATACCATTTTTCCCTTTTATTAGTAAAATGGAATAAATGGCAATTTTTAGAAACATTTGTTGGTGCCAACGCCCCGCAGTTATGTCAACACAAATATTAGTGCTAAAATAAAATGTCAAAATTTTTTTGCTAGTATTTGTTTATTTCTGACACGAGGATAGTTTTAATTCAAAAGTAACAAACATTCATAAATATATCTTCACAAACATTCTCATTTATAGCTGTAATATGGTCTTTATAAAATACCAAAGTAATGTCTTTTACGAAATGTTTATTAAAATCTGCGGCACGAAGTCGATTTGTAAGATGGAAACAACAACACGTAGAATTGGGACAATAAATGAATCCTAACATTTGCGGATATTGTCCGACCCGCCTTTATTGCTACATATTTTAGAGACAACTAGCGTCTAGCGGCTTACAAGACAGTCTGGCTTATAAAGAAAATGAAAATAAAATTGGACTTTTATTGCAATATATACTCGGCATATTTTAAAAATACAATAATCTCCTTTATTTGTCACTCAAAATGTCATTTGGGAAATTCATAATCATATTGTTAAATCTCTTTGCAAAGCTCAATAAAATAAAAGAATATTTATAGAAGACTAGTTTTTACCCGCGACTTCGTCCGCGTTAGTTTGGTCAAGAGTAATATATGTAGGTATAGCTGACCAGACGAACTCTATTCCGTCTTAGAGGCCACAAATAATCAGGTTTTTCCTGTTTCAATCAAACAGAATGATTGACATATTAGTTAGTTGTTAAATCTAATGTCAAAAAAAACGTTTGTATGGGAAATAGAAAAGGGCTGTTATTAGGGTTTTCCCGGCAATTATATAAATTTTTCTCACCTTTTAAACCTTTCCTGGACTTTCAGGAGTATTTCAAGACTAAAATTAGCCAAATCGGTTCAGCCCTTCTCGAGTTTTAGAGAGACTAAGGAACAGCAATCCATTTTTATATATATAGAAGATTATTATTTATGAAAACTGGATGATATCAATAATATTTTTTTTTATAATTTTAATTCTCCTTAAATGCAAAAACATTTACGATTTATTTTTGTTGTATTTTATTGAAAAACGATCACTTGAGTTAATGTGTACGGATTATTTCGCGCTTATATAAATATTAAATGGAAATAAATACGGTTCCCAGACGAACCTTTTACTGGAATTATACTGTAGCTAAGCGCTACGTTTAAGCCAAAAGTAAATGACTTTAGCATCAACAAATAAATAATCATGAACATAAAATAAAATATTAGTATCGTCAAAATAATTATTTCACTATCATCCTGATTTTAATCAGGCCGGATACAAGGTTTTAGTTTTTGGTACAGGCTAGCTGGATTTATTTTAAGCTCTTGTAAGTACCTGCCTCATAATAGTGTTCAAATTAGACATAAAATTTGTTAAGATTCAAAATTTAAATGAAAAATATTAAATAAAATATTGCATTCCATTTACTTTATTTATTAAGTTATAGTTATCTAACTCGATTAGGCGAGTTAAGTATGTTATATATTTTACCGTCGTATACTGATGGAGGAGTCTACTTTTAGGTTTTATTATAAAAATCTAACTTTACCATATAAAAATAAAATTGTGAAGATGATAATAATTATACCAAAATCTGTCTGCATCACGAAGTAACATATACACATAAACTAACTGTAATAATAAAAGTAAATATAAAGTATTATTACTACATAAGTGCTAAGTTAGTGTGAGAGCTCTTATGAATACCGGACATCTTAAAGTTTATGAATCCTGGAAGAAAATGTATTTGTAGTGAACAAGAAAACAAAGCTACTAGAGTACAGACTGTTGGACGAGATTAAAACTTCCTCACTAGAGAGTGCGGTGACCAGTGCGGTTGTAGAGAAATTTACTTTGAACAAAAGTTAATATAAGCGAAATTTCGTACATTGGCAAGCGGTTCGTGACCCAAGTTGAAACTTTATCTCGATTATTTCAAGTTCTATATTATTAAACACCTGTGTAGTGTTTATTTGTGTCATAATTATCCTTGGACATATTTTATTCATAATACTTATTTTGGGAGTCGATTAAATTTGCCGGCACTTTTTATGTTTTCTTATCTGATACGTATTACGTAGCAACCATGGTATGTTATTGCACTGGACGGAGCATTGGAACGGACCGCCAAATAAACGCATAATTCAACTGTCAACCCACTAAATGCTTATTTAATTAATTTCACAGTCGTAAACTAATTTAATTTGGATACTTGGGGAAATTCTTCAAAGCACCGTCTGAATTCTTTAACCCGACGGTGTTTGAATTTCAAAAGTACTTTAACAATCTAGATGACATCAGAAAAATATCACCTTTTTAAATTTTATTCAAGGTAATTCCATATAATATTTTGAAAATGTTTTCTTTGGTCGAACAATAGCTACTATTTTAGCTTCACAATACAATTCTTTACTGTTTTAATTGTTATAGTAATAATTTTGAGAGCAATAAATATTAACATCGGTGCTATAATTCTAAAGGTAATGCTTGTAAGCATAAACTAGGACGATGCTGGCCTGCAAATGAGGTTGAAGATACGCTTGGTAGTTAGTAAGCATAAATTAAAACAAGTGTTACTATAAAAAGTTGATAAATGGTCGTCCACAGGCGGCGTCACAAAAAAGGGAACTGACGTCAAGCGAAGCGCTAACGTGTTTCATTTTGCACTCTAGGCGACATCTGGCAGCTTTCAGCATGAGCAAATTGTGAAGCCATCGGTTTTAACCTCCAAATATCGTAAATTTCTCTTACACATACATTTTATTTATTCAAAAATTATTTAAAAATCTATAAAGGTGGTGATTTTTTTACTATGTATCATAGAACTATTGATATTGCAACCAAAACGTTAGATCTGTCCCACATTGAAATACAAATTCTTATACAAAGCGATATATTAAAGACACGACAAGATGTTAGAGGAATTTAATACAGGTCACAACAACGTATATAAAACCACAAACTACACCATTAGAATCCACACAGAGAATTCTAAAGCCTCTGAAATGTGCAATAAAGCGATACATTCACTGACACTACTCTAATACAGAAGTTTCACTTGATAAAGGCGAGATGAGTGCAACATATTACATCTTTACTATAATAACCTACGACAAACATTAAAACCAAGTAATACAAAATTCAAATTAGTATTGACATAGGTTTAGGCTTTTGTGATACATATACATACATGAATATACATAGGTTCTAGAATCTCTTTTTGTACATTATAATTGCACATTTCATAATTATCATAATATCCAACTATACACTTAAGACGTTTACATATATGTATGGGTTAAACTGTGCCAACAATTTAAAAACAGACCACGTTTTTGAAAGCAATATTAAAAGGTAAAATAAAAGTTAAAGACTGATTTAAAGCGAACCTCAAAATGTATGAAGCGAAATTCTGCTGAACTATTGACATTGGATTCCCGCACACAGATATTATCCCATGTGGACATAGCCTTACACTATCAGTACATCGAAAGTTGCGTAATCCAGAAACGCTCCCTTTAATTGGTTTACCACAGACCTCTATTAACGAAATAAGATGGGAAATCAGAGTATTAGCATAACAGTGAATTCAATTAGGGTTCACAAAGAGGATTACAACTTTAACAATGAACGGAAAGTTAAAGCAGAAGCCCAATAAACTAGCGTGGAATAATCAAAATGGAACGAGTGTGATTATAAGTTAAAATTAAATTCCCATTTCGGACTAATCTACTTCAATTAATTTTTAATTCAATTTACATAAAAGATTTCCATTTCTAAAACAAGATTTTTTATTCTCACTTATTAATTAACCTACATACAACTTTATGGAATCGTCCTTTAGTAATTAAATATTACATTTTAAGTACAACAACTAAGGTACTGAAATATATAATTATAATGAGAAGTGAGGAGCACATTGCATATAATATTTTGCAACATCCATTAAGTCAGCTTGATTGGTAAAGTAAAGATAAATGCAAATTACGAGATAAGCATTAGAACCATTGATGTGACATTATAAGTATACCGGGGCTTGTGAAAGCCGCGTGAACAATGCGTACGGGTTGCGCAACAAAGGTAACAATAGAGTATTAATAGAGCCATTCGACGTCTCATCGCTTATTCATCCACGCCCCACGCCTTCGCAGCAACCAGATTGATGTCCTCGTGTTCCATACCCGTCACAGATTGCTGAGATGCAAAAGCTCGCTTCAAATGACAACGGTGTCGTAAATTTTAAAGAACTGAATAGTTTCCCGTTCAGAACTAATATAAGTTTATAATGTCGTAGATTTTATATATTAAAGTGTTCTTGAATAAGGGAAAGCGAACGAACGAACGAAAATTAAATAAAATATATATATATATGCATTTTTTAATATACTGAATTAGATAAAAAAACAATTCCTATTAACCAACCTTAATACTGAAACTGTATAAAATTTTGTCACTTAAATTACTTTAAATAAAGTGCATAATGTCCTTGAACATTGATATTTCCTAATATAAACCACGCACACAGCACAGCTGTATCTCATATATTTAAGGCTCACGCATAGTTTAATCGAAACTACTCGGCGCCGAGAACTTGTCTATAAAACTATCATTTAACCGAGCCAGACTCCTAGAGGACTCGTTCCTGTTGCCATTTCTCATTGGCAGTAAAGATGAAACATGTAATTTATTTCAACCGCTGCTATTATACCAAAGTGGGTTAAGATATATGAATGCATTTTAATTTGTAAGCCTTGTATTAAAACGCTCAACTCCTTAGACTTGCAGATTTAAAATGAACTAGGAAATATCATTTGTTATTAAAATAAACGTTTTACCAGGTTTTATAAAAATAAAAAATAAACTTTTTAAAAACTATGTTTACGTTTTTTATAGGTGGTTTTATGCGAACAAACTGAAAAATGAAACCGGTGCTATTCATTTTAAATACTTCTATATCCTATCATAATATTATTCAGCAGCGATTCAATTATAAAAGGCGAACGATCTAAATTCAATCGTAAAGTTAATAATGTTCCTGACATAAAGTGCAGACAAGATCATGCAACCAAATAAAGTCTCTAGTCACAAACTACTGCCCACAAAACACGATATACCGGTAAATATAATAATTTCACTAACAGTCACGATAGCAGTTCTATGGTACGGTTAACAATCGTTCAATTTGTAGGGCCCAGCCGCAAGGCTCGACAGCCCAGTGCACGCGACATACAGCCTGAGTCGACATTCTCATACGTTGGATAACGCATAACAATCAAGATGTCATTTTTCAACTACCCACACGCTAACTGTGGGACAAACGTATGTGAGAAATATGGCCGACAGCGCACGCACCGTACCACAAAAGAGGCGTCCCTGTATGTAGCGATACATATCATCTACTTTAATACTGGCAACAAATTCACTACACACGGAATAAGGTTTACGAGCGAACACAATGAGATTATTAATTGTGTTAAATAAAAAACTAACATTATAAAAAATGTATATGAGTTTTAGTTATTTATATTGGGAATGAATTGAGTAACGAAAATAAAGATGTCTCATTTTACACGATGATTAAGTACAAAAATGTGTTTAGCCACGACCATTACAGACTTCACAGAAGTCAATAACCAATATAAAGGATGCTAACGTGAGGTGAAAAAATAATAGTAATTATTAACACGAACAGCCACTTGAATCACACCGTTCGCAGTTTAAAATCACACTCAAGTACTAACTCGAAAATTCCACATAACGGAGCAAGCCCTTGGGGCGGAACAGCTTCGGAACTCGTTTGGAAAACGAAATGTATACTTGCATTAGAACTTAATATTGCGTTTTTATATTAGGTTTATCCTGCATAGTACTCTTATTTATTATCTCTCTATTAAAACTTTTCAATATATATGACCTTATTAGTCAAAATAATATAGCTTCTAAGTTGGCCGTCACGTAATGTAAATTATATCTATGATTTTGTTCATTACAATATTGAATAAGGAAATAAATATACTTTCGTCACAAGTACATCATTTTAATAAAAAATGAGTTAAGTAAGTTCTAAGAAATACTTTGTTCTGTTATTAATCTAAAGCCAATACTTTATTACAGCCCTGAGGTAATAATGTTCGTATGCCATGATAAAGGTAAATTCTAAACAACAGAATATACATTAAGAGCGAATCCTATAAGGCGGAGAAAGGTTTGTGTTGTAAACAAATGAGATAGATGCAGGACGACCTTTTAAGGGCATCCATTTCTATTCGGAAGCAACTTCTGTATGTGACAATGGCACAAACAGCACTATTTCACTAGAGAGAGCTAGCTAAATATCATCTGATGGTAATTGAAGTTATCGATTCTGGAGGGGAATATTTTGCAAGCGAATGACACTGATTACAGCTAAGCTGATGACTGGTTTATTTTGTTAGACGATCGATCAAGAACGTCGACACAGATTGGTTCATGATTTATGAACTTATATAACCTTTAGCCCACTTAGCTAAAAAGATTCAAATCACTGTATTATCACTCATATTTTTGATATTATATGTATTTGTATATACCTCTATTAATATTGATTTTAAATATATGTACATATAAACATTAAATTAAATAGTACTATAAAATATTTTGGCAAAAATTATATCAAACAAAACTATTTTAAACTTCCTACGTTGTATACACCCACACACGCAAACAACAAAAGAAAAAGTGGTTTGTCATATGGCCGCAAAATAGTCTAAGAGCCCGTGAACCCCAGACCTTCGTTATTTTATAAAAGCTGAAAGTTTGTCAGCGCATGCTCCCAACACAGGTAAGAACGAAGGTCCATTATGAAATTCGGGTTGTAGTGGCTTTGGCAGGTAAACGGTACTAAAGGTGTGTAAAATACTAATATAGTTTCGTCAAATTATACAGAGCGATTTTTTGGTATTACCTTTAGAATGTTATTAAAAATCACATTATTCATTACCAGACACTTAACATCGTGGTAACCCCTTGCCAGACACCCTTAATGTTCAGGGTATAATAATTCTACTTACGTTATAGTATAAAAGCTGATTTTTATACAGGATACTTGGGTAATGAGTAGATGATATTTTCTCAATAGCCAGACATTTTTGATAGTTCCAACCCCTTGCCAGACAAGTATGTAGGGTCGCTGTAGAAACGAGCGCGAGGTAGTATATATATGTGAGTGCGAGTGAGATGGCGAGTTAGGTCTATTGCGATCCCTGAGCGCGCAGCTGATATTTCCACAGCGCATGTATTGTTTAGTGCTCAGTATATGTTTACATCAACAAAAATAATGTAATATGACATCATGAAGCTTTATTAATTTAACATTTATTATTAATTAATAACATAGGATATTCCAAGTACATCAAAACTGGAGTCTCGTTCGAGCCTCCGTAGGGATCGGACGTCTTTTGTGATATAGTGATTAGGGTATGCCGTAACGAGAGCCACTTGCTATCTAACATAACTTAAACTAACATAACCTAAGCTAACCTAAGCTAACTAACCTAACCTAACCTAACCTAACCTGGTTTTGCGTTGTGGTTAGGATGGGAGATAGAGAGTATGATGGGGGGGGGTTGCCCGGGGGGGGGGAAAACGGGGAACTCTATGGAGGAGTTGTCGGGTGTGGACGACTCGATGTCGTCTCGTCCGGAGTCGGCGTTAGGGCCCAAGCGTCTCTTTTCGGAGATCTCTGGCTCCGACACCGAGACTGGGGGGGGGATGGCTCGAGAGTCGATCCCAGCGGGAAGACGAGGCCGCGGTCGCGCCTTGACCAGGGCACGAAAATTTTTAAGGGAGAGGGAAGAAGAGGAGTTGGAGGCCGCCTTCGACTCCTGTATGGAGAGGAGGCTGGCGAAGGAAAGGGACGGTAAGAAGGAAAGGGAGGTTCCTCCGGAATTAGGAACGATGGGGGCGGAGGCCATCATGGCTGTATAAAAATCAGCTTTTATACTATAACGTAAGTAGAATTATTATACCCTGAACATTAAGGGTGTCTGGCAAGGGGTTACCACGATGTTAAGTGTCTGGTAATGAATAATGTGATTTTTAATAACATTCTAAAGGTAATACCAAAAAATCGCTCTGTATAATTTGACGAAACTATATTAGTATTTTACACACCTTTAGTACCGTTTACCTGCCAAAGCCACTACAACCCGAATTTCATAATGGACCTTCGTTCTTACCTGTGTTGGGAGCATGCGCTGACAAACTTTCAGCTTTTATAAAATAACGAAGGTCTGGGGTTCACGGGCTCTTGCTCTAAAAGGTATGTAGGGAGTGATATTTTCTTTTTAAACATTATACACATGTTGAAATCCACGTCTCTTTTGACAAAATTCACAATAGGTTATTAAGTTTAAACAAAATAATTACACGTTAAAGATAAAAGAATGTTATTTTTAATATTTTCAATTAATTCTTTTTATTAATTCTATTTATTCACATCTAGACCTGAACCATGTTACTAAAAACCAACTTAAAAAAGAAATAATAAAGATACATCATAACCCGTAATTTTATGTTAAAAACACACACACACACACATGCACACACGCATACACACACACGCACACACACACACACACACACACACACACACACACACACACACACTTTTGTATGTAACACCATTTGCTTTGCTTTTTTTTCCTTTTCCTTTTATTATTAATTGTATGCTCGAGTGTAACTGTATAAATGAAAATTTGTGTAATCCTAAATTGGCCTTATTTATAGCTATATTGTTATTATTTAAAGATTACTGTAACGCTGTTGGATTACCAATAAACTAAAAAATAAAATAAAATAAAAATTACTTCAAAGGTTTTTTTTTGTTTTTGAAACTTAATAAACAATGATACCGCGTTTAAATTACTTCAATTTAAAGAGTCATCTTTATGACGAGTCATCGTAAAAAATATAAATTTTAGTTAATTTTTAATAGATATTTCTGATGTATGACAAAATTTTCATAAATCCTTTTTGAACCTTATAGGGACGTAAATTAATATAATTTTGCCAAATGGCTATGTAAATATCAAAGGAACATTTATAAAGTGAAATACTGAAAAACCTTTTTACAAATTATATTGCTAGAGAAAAATATTTTTTCTTAGTTCATACTTTTAAAATTTTTGCTAAACACCGTTTCTCAAAGGAACATATAAATACAATACAAATATATAAAACTATTCCCTAAAAAAATATGCAACCGACACAAAAGACATTAATTATAATCATTTAACTGTATTGTCATATATGGAACTTTTTCTGCGAACTTGCCTATATCTGAGATATTTGGTCATTTTGTGTAATATCCTTTTCTTAACTATATTTTTGGAGTTTACCTATTAAATAATGATTGACATATTAGTTAGTTATTAAATGTAATGTCAAAAAAACGTTTGTATCAACAACTACTAATAAATTAAATATTAATTAAAAAAACATTATCCAGCGGACAAAATTGTGAATCTAAACCATTCCCAGATCCCCTTGAACACACACAAAAAAATCATCAAAATCGGTCCAGTTGTTTGAGAGAAGTTCAGTGACATACACACTCACAGAAGAATTATATATATAAAGATATAAATGTCTATACATACCTGTTAGATGGTTCCCAGTGAACTCGAAGTCGTCGTCCTGGTCCCAATGCTTCAGCGACAGGTTTCCTAAGGGCGTTGCGTTCGCGAACTCCAGATTAGCGAAATGCCAATCAAGGATCTGACGATCTCGAACCGAGAGATACACCGAACTGTTCAATATAAAATAATATCTCATATAATATAATATTACATAATCTCGTATACATTTTGGAAAGAATGAATCCTGGCCAATTTACTTTTATAGTCCTTACATTGTTTGTTTAGAATTTATCGGTTAAAGTTTTCCGTAGGTATATCTCTTTAGCTAACTTTTAATTTGTTTAGTTGCTGGCATATTTAACTATAACTTTTTTAATTTTTGTACCTTTTTACAACATGCTTGAAAATTTTACATCCCATGGCCAGCAAAATGTTCTTCAGATATAAAAGTTATCTGTCACGCTATTTTAACATGAGCTAAAATGCTATTCATTTGCTACAGAGTCAGCATTAGCCCACTCTCCCTAACAGCAGTACTTATTACCAAATACAAATAGTTACTAACCTCGGCGGATTAGATTCCAACTGCACTAACTTATCCTCTATAGTATTATTCTGTGTGGTAAGAGTCTCATATTCGTTACACAACAGATTCATCTCTCGGTTTAATCTTCTCAGATTAAACTCCTGTAAAATGCTAGCATCTCCTGACGCTACCTTCTCACGATCAGCCAACAATGTCTCTTTCTCAGCCTTCATAGACTTTAGTAGCTCGTTTATATCTGACATTCTAAAATAAATTAAACTTATTTACAATTTGGCAAGATGAACCTAATAATTTATACTTAATTATAACTATGTGATAAATTGTTTTAAAATATATATCATAGTACATTTTGCTAGTCCATAAAATTATATTCCAATTATATAGAAAATAAACAATACTAAATTGAAATATTTTAAAATAAATAACATAAATTTCTTCACATGTACATTAGTATTCACCAACGCATATTCGTTTGTGAATTACTCCTCTACTGGAGTAATTCTTTTGTAAATTTAGTCGTATGAGAATCTTAATCAGTTTTACTATAAATATAAAACTTACTTGTTGATATTATTCTTTAGCTTCTCTTGCAAGGTTATCAATGCTTTAAGGTGTTGAATCTAGATTTAAAAGAAAAAATATTATTATTCACTTTATTGAACATATTAATCCGAACGTAATTTATAGACATTTTTTTGCTGGACCTAACTAATATAAACTGCAAAAAATTATTCTGTAAATAAAAACTATACTTAGATTATTATTCTTAAGTAATTCTTATGCTAAATGTCTATAATATTAAAGGATTTAGCAAAAAGATAAGTATTTACTTTGAGAACTACAATTCCTACCTAAGATATTTTATAGAATGTGACTAATATTGCACCATTCAGTTTATCATTTAAATATTATTTTAAGTCTTATTTTAAACTGACATGAGGTAGGAGAAGTCTAAATTGTATTTTAAAATAATTTATTATTTTATTGGATATTTTCTAAGTAAAACTGTGTTAGCACTACAAGTACAATTATTTACATTATATAAACATAATTTTATACCTGTTTATGTTTAACACTTTTTTGCTGCAATTTAATAACCCATTCCAAAGCCTGTCCCAAAGAAACGGGAGTATCGTTGTAATAATTGAAGTCTACTTGATGTGATAGATATGATGTAGCATCCAGCAAACGATTGAATTCACGCTCGACCTGAAAATATAAAAGTGTAATAATAATATTAAAATATATTTATATGAAAATCTCTTCAAAATATAGGTATTAGATTTCAAGTGAAGATATAAAGTAAATATATTTAAAAAAATATGTATTTTTTACATAAATCAATATAAAAACTGCCATTTAATAATATAAGAATGGAATTTTTCCCAAGGTCAATACATATACTTGCCATCTCATCCTTATGTTTAGGGACTTGATTACCAGTTGCTTCATACAATGGACATTTTTGTTTTATCTTATGTAACTCCATATTCATTTGTACCGACAATGTTGTGACAGGATTGCCACCTAATCCAGTTACCACCATTGCTCCTGAAAATAATTAAAATGATACAGTATTTTTAGTATTAAGGATAATAAAATAAACTAAACTAAATATTTGCTTTCATCAGATTGTACTAAACTTTATAAAAAATATCATATATTGAGATTTATAACTTTAAAAATAACAATTCAATAAGTCATCTTGGAAATCCGAAATATTGTTTTATTTTAATGTTCATGGGTCCTAAATTGTTACAAACTTCATGTAATCAAATTATGTATCAATTGAAAAAAGCGATTAGTTTATAGACAGTATTTCTTTCTGAGAGTATTTAGACACTACTGACATCTTCTTCTCAGTCGTTCACTCTTGACAGAGTGGTCGTGGTTGATGACTTGCACTTTCTTTGGATAAAACAGCTCCCGCGATGCGCCTCCACTTACGGTGACATACGGTGAAGGAAAACATATTGGGGAAACCTGGACTTATAGTTTCACAATTATAAGATAGAAATCACCAACCTGTCTTGAGTGAGTGTGGTAATTAATGCTCAAACCTTCTACATGTGAGAAAGAGGCCTTCGCTCAGCAGTGGGCTCTGATAGGCTGATGATGATGATGATGATTATAGACAGTATGTTTATTTTAAATAAAAATATAATACAAACCTAAGTCAGCAACATACGGTCCCTTCCGGTAAGTGACAACCCTGCCTCCGACCCTGTCTCTCCCTTCCAATATTACTACTTCACATCCAAATGATTGTAACTGACGAGCAGCTGCCAAGCCTGATACTCCTTAAAAATAATTTAAATTATTTAGACACAATAGAACAATTATACTGTACAGTAATTTATATGATTACATTTTTATTTAATTTACACAAGCCATACTTGACCAATATAGCCATATTCAGTAAGTGCTCAAGTTTATTGAGAAAAAAAGAGTAAAGAGGATAATGCTTGCAAAAATTTTGTGAATTGGTAGAAAATGTGTAATGGTCTGAATTATTTAACATTTTTGTGGTAGTAAGTAGGTGTGATGTACACAAATCGAGACAAAATTTTACCTAGGATTATACAACACTTCTAAAAAGAAACACAAATATGTAGATCATGCTACATCTTGCAATCAAGTATTTTGTTCCAATTACAATGATTTCATATTTAGAAGTAATTATTAATATCAGATATATTTTCATATCATCAGCATTTGTGGTTGATACAGGAAATATATTGAGTAACATAGTTAATAAGAATTGCGAAGAGTAAAGACGATAATATGCTGTCCTGAAGTATCAATGCTGTTACATCACACCGATGGGAAACACTGTGTTCACCAGAATGTGTTGTCAAGAAATGGTTTTGTAACTCCAAAAGCAGTCCTACACTAAAGAATATATGTTGAAAGAATGTCAAATGAATAGTAATAAATAATTATTAAATTAGTTAAGTGTTTACAGAGTAAATGTTTATTAACCTGAACCACAATAACATAAAACCGAGGTAAGAGAAAAATTTATTGAATAATGTCATACATCATTCTATAACTCAACCTTAGATAACTGTTAATAATATGATTGGACCTTACCTGCACCAATAATGATAACCTTGGGTCTTTGTTTACCCTTTGGTGGTGATGGAATAGGATTTACTCGCTCATAAATACCATAGTTTATAAAACCATGTCGTTCCAGAAAAGCATGAGTTCTCATTACTAAGGCAGGATCTGCACTATATGGTGGCTGAAAGATATTCAAACAAAACACGCTTTTGACTTTCCTATTTACAACCCTTAAAATGCATACACTCATATCTAGAGATTATAAATTAATAAAGAAATAATCATTCTTGTTAGTAAACAGAAAGAAAGTATTATCACGAAAAGTTAATTTCAATACTTTAAACACTGTTATTGTCATAACTTACTTCCATTTTTTGAACGGACTGTTCTTGAGTGAGCTGTTTCTTAGGATCTTCAAACCAAAGTTTCAATATTCGATTTCTTATTTGAACAAATGCAAGGCTTGATGCTCCTTGCAAATCCGAAAAGCATTCGGCTTCTAATGAAGACATTTTGTCAAATGGTAATCTAGATTGAAATGCAGCACCTTCCAAGCTGAAAAATAAATTGATTTACTTATATTAAAAATTTACTATTCAAAACGTAAAGAACAATCTCAATTATTTAAATCTTAGAAATACAAAACCTATTTAGCATATCTTTGTAGTTAACTTCTTCAATATCTTCACTTTTGGTTTCTTCAATAATAATTGGTTTGTCTTCTTTTTTTGAATCCACAGTCCGACTGGACGAGGATTCCCGCCTTCCCGTAACTGACGTTGGACTCGAATTTGTGATCTTACTTTTCTCAGATTGATCCGATTCAGAATCATCTTGTTTTAATTTTTCATCCAATTCGCGGTTTTCCACCTAAAATCAATAAACATAACCTTCAAAACAAAACAAAATATATATATTGTAATAGTGAAAAAAAGAGCTAACCTTAGCACGCTTGCGACGGCTCATTTTTTTGTGTTTAAAAAAGAATGTATTTCACCAGAAAAAGAAAATAATAGTTTGAGACAAATTCAATCAAATCAAAACAAATTATTATTGAGCAAAAAATATAAACATTGATAGTGATGTCGGCAGAATCAACTGTCAGCAGTCAGATTGACAGTGAATCGATAAAAGTCGAGTTATGTCGATTTTTAGTCTGAGGCGAGTAAATAACCTTCATCGTTCTCTTCCGTCGTTAACATTTTCATAATTTATTCATATAGGTGTGATATTTTTCATATAGGTGTCCCAAAGAACGTATTTTCAATAGTTTTAATTTTTTTTTTACATCTACAATAAAAGCTTCGTAATGTTTGTTTAAAACGCTTAAAAGCCATTTATCTGATTAAACAATTAGAACGAGAGATATTTGAGTATGAGCGGGAAAAATTTAAAACAAAGGAGCAGAGGTCAAGAGTCTTTATTATTGTTATATTTACACTTTATACTTTTTATTATCTTCGTAATCTTTTTGGTGGATCGATATGAGCTTAAAGACTATTTCTAAAATGACTTTGTAGAAGGCCTTCATCTGCATATCCAGCTATCTCTTGTGGTATGACAGAACTTTCTTCGACGCTGCCACAAGGACGACACATGCATTCCAAAGGAGCTTTTGTAGATACCTGTCAATTATTAATGGAATTAATTTATTTTTTCGGGAATGATTATTAAGTTTTCAACATCAATATGTATGTATATATTATTGAAAGTTTGTTTTCACATTACCTTACGGAATCTCTTTTCCTCGCTCTTTGCTTTTGGGCAAAAAAGAACCACAGATGCTTCTCGTTCTCCAGATTCTTGGCAACAATTGCAAGAACGTTCCATTTGCCAAATTTTACTGCCAGACACCTGTGATAAGTAAAATTTTAAATTATGAAATATGCAGTATGAAGTATTCTCTGGAATAGATTAACTACTTCCATTTTTTCTGGTCTTACGGGTAATTCGAATCCATTTACGTATAATTCCAGTTTTTTTAAGCTGACATTTTTATGAGGAGGTGGAAAGTATACAATATATATTTATACTAGTAGTGGGAATAAATGTATTCTTCATAACCCTCTAGTTACTTACTTGTACATAGCTTGTGCATTTTCCAATGCAAGCATAAGATGGAATCGGTTTCGGAACGCAACCAGGGTGTTGAAGAACATGTATTACGGGAGTCATTTGACACTCTTGGCCTGAAACAGAAGATACATATCATACTATTATATATTTTTATTTCCGAAAATAAATCTGGGATTAGATTACAGATTATATAACGTCATAAAACCTAACCTAACCTAACCACAAACGAGCGATCAATAGGTTTTGTGAGAGAGGGCACCAGGGCTATAAAATCAAACGTCAAGCCTTACTCTATCCTTAAAGCGGCTTCGGATTGGACTATCATGATGGATACGTATGAGAAACAATACAAAATCCCCGAGGATATTTGTGCGTCGGCCTCCAGACCAGACATATTTCTATATTCGCGTATTTTAAAGCGCGTTGTGATGATAGAGCTTACGGTGCCTTGGGAAACCAACATCCCCAAAGACCATGCCGTCAAGGTCAATAAGTATTACGAGCTCACTAACGAACTAACTCGAAATAGGTTCGTCGTTGATTTGTACGCGGTAGAGGTGGGAGCGAGAGGTATAACAGCTAAATCTCTCTATAACCTACTAAAAGACTTGGGCCTGTCCAGAACTAACATTAATTCATTCTTGGAACGTACGTCGAAGGCAGCCCTAGTAGGTTCTTTTGAAATTTGGTTAGGTAGGGAGAGGAACTTGGACAGTGGAGGTGAGCGTATAACGCGCGTTAGTTAAGGGGCCCCTTAAACCTACACCTGGGTCGCAAGTCCCAGGCACTGTTGAAGCTCCTCTCCCTGCAACGCGATGGACCCGGCACCCGCACGGTGAATCCATTGAATGCTAAGAGGTTTCGTCTCTCAGGTTAAATTAAAAAATAAAATAAAAATGTTCTTACCAGGAGGCAATTGTATTTCTTGCCCATTAACGCCTTCTGCTCCTAAATAACATATTAAAAGAAACATCGAAACGTAGCCTATCCTCTGAGCAAACATGATTCTCTTCAATGAATAATCTGGTATTGATGCTATCCCTTAGGATGTTAGAACTGTTGTGATTAAAGCCACTAAATTTCTGGCTTTTATAGGTCTTCGATGGTGTTAAATATGTCATATAAAATTGTTTCTGACTCAGTACATTGTAATCATTTTAAGGGATGGATGTTCTCCTCAAGAATTATATAGAACTCAAGCGGCGTGAACAAGCATTACTTAATGGATTTTATATGAATTTCTCTGCCATAGGACTGTAGAAGTATTATACTGAGTCCAGCCTAGTAGCCTACATGATGAATACTTTTGCAAAAATAAATATTTTAAAAAATACAAAATACTTGAATTTATTTATATAATTTACTGATATGTCTCTATTTTAAATTAGTCATTAATATAATTCCTTAATTTCTAAATTATTTAAAACTATTTCCTTCAATAATGAAACAGTTTTGAGACTGAAAGTCTTGTTCACGTTTTATCAAACCAACGCAGTAACGTGAATAATAATTAAGTAATTTATGTAGCTTTGGTTTTCAAAAATTCAGCTTCTAAGAAATCCCTTAGTGAACATACAATTACTTATACTCTGTTATATTTTATATTAACCATTTTTTATAAAAAGAGTAGCTTACTTGAATGTATAAAATTCAGTAATTATAAATTGACCACTATTATGAATTTAACTTTAATTATTATAATAGTATTGAGATTGTAGTAATTGTGAAAAGAAACGCCGTTTCTTTTACAAGATTAAGAAGTTTAAGTGTTATGTACTATAAGTTAGTTTTGATATACGCATAGTGGGAAACAAACCACTGCTTAGGAAATTTCAACTCAATGATCTAAAGCAAAAGGATCATATTTCACTAAAGATATAAGATATATCTCTGTATCTAAGCTTTATTTACGACTATAAAGCAAAGTGACGTCATATACGCTGTGTCACATCTGCGTGTATTCAAAGTCTCTTAACAGCTAGGTATACTTTTTTCTGTTTTAATAACCATTTTATGTAATTTTATTTATATAAATTACGTCTTAATCGTACCATTTATATATAAAATATAAGACAAAATTATCTTAAGTAATTGTAAAAATATTTAAAATTTAAGAACATTAAAAAGAGTATAGCTTAAATTTGTACCATCTATGTATATAATATACTAACTTTTGCCGCGACTCCGTCCGCGTGGAGTAGTGACTTCCGGCAGATTTTTGGTTCTTCCCACATAGTTCCCGTTCTTACGGGGTTTTCGGAATGGTCGACTTCCCGTAGAGTTTTCAGGATAAAACCTATGTTTTTTTTAATTCACAATGAAATACTCTTAACCAACAACATATTTATTTGTTTATTTGAAAAAAGATTTTATAAAATTATTTTGACCAAATTAGGTACCATAAAAACGGTTTTTGTGAGTTAATCTTAAAAGATAGACATATACTGTCGCGGACTGCTTTTTAGATCATTAAAAGGGCTATTATTCTTCAACACATATTTTTGTGTTTCTTGAACCGTTTTCACGGCGCACGCAACGGAAGGCTTCAAAGATGAAATAATTTCTCCCGTTTTTTACACATTTACCACTATATCTTTGCTCCTATTGGTCGTAGCGTGATGTTATATAGCCCAAAGCCTTCCTCGATAACTGGACTATCCAACACAAAAAGAATTATTCAATTAGAACCAGTAGTTTCGGAGATTAGCGCTTTCAAACAAACAAACAAACAAACAAACAAACAAACAAACAAACAAACAAACAAACAAACAAACCAACAAATAAACAAACAAACAAACTCTTCAGCTTTATAATATTAGTATAGATAAAAAAGTGTGATTGAATAGGGGCCGTTCAAGTATTACGTAAGCACTATGGAGGGGCGGAGGGGTCTTTGCTTTGCTTATTTTGGATGACATGGGGGATAGGGGAGTCTAGATATCGATTACGTCATCGGAAATTATTAATTTTTAATCGTCACATCGAGTAGATCCATAAAAAAATACAATTGTAATATTGTAATTGATAATGATTACGTAAGTATATACCCCCTGGTAAGAGCTTTGCTTACTTTTGCTGACAAGGAGGATGGGAGGGTTAATAATTGTAATTAATCTGCTTACGTAATACTTGAACGGCCCAATATACATTTATAAAAAACTAAGTAAATGTGGAATAAGAAAAATGTTCAGAAAAGATAAGACACATTAAAAAATATTCACTAAAAGTTAATATTTTAATAAAACAGATTACCAAATTGACTACAGTCTAAAAACATTCAAAATTTATCAATACCTACTGAAATTGGTATAAGCTATAAAGTTGGTAACTCTAGCAGAAATCTTTTCTGTTTAACACCACTTAGATAGGATTTTAAGTGTATTGCGATAGATTGTGTTGTTTTAAGTTTAAGTACATTTTCTCAAAATCTTTACAGTAATTTTGTACGTGAATGTAACCAGTCTTAATATAGAAACTTAATTCTTAAATAGTCACCCATTAAATAATATTTCATATTTACGGCCGCCAATTACACATATTAGTAAAATAAATGTGCAAATGAATACATATTAAGAACACTTTATCATCACCACAAATAAATAAAACTTTGTCACTTCAGAATATTCATAAAACAATTATCTGTAAAATCTTTGTGATCATTGTTCTTTTGTAAGCATAAACGTAATACACTGAAAGTCATTAGTTTTCATAAAGACCCTGTAAATTAATACTTTTCAATTTTTTTGTTTTTATTGTACATAAAGCGACTTAAATGATGATGCCACAGTTTTCGTGAGTTTGCTGCTTCGAATTTGTTATTATTTTCCAATCCAAAGTGTTGTTTATTATATAGTAAAATATATGAGATAATATAAAAGTATATAAAATAAAAATAATGGGGTAATTCATATCTAAAGAGAGGTCAAACAATTTTTCGGTTGACTTGATAAGCATTAGCAAAGTACCTAATATCATTCGTCTGCTATGCGGACGACACGCTCGTTGTAGCCCGAGGCGGTGACCTGGCAGAGGCGAAGGCGCTTGCCGAGGCGGGAACCGCCTTAATCGTACGGCGCATAGAGATGCTCGGGCTGAGGGTGGGTCTCGAGAAAACCGAGGCCCTCCTGTTCCACCGCCCTCGAGCAGGACCTCCGACGGGCGCCAGCATGAACATCTGCGGCGTCCGCGTCGAGCTCAGTCCCCGGATGAAATATCTGGGGCTGACTCTGGACGGAAGGTGGAACTTCCGGGAGCACTTTCGCGGGTTAGTCCCGAAACTCCTCGGGACGGCGAACGCTCTCGGAAGGCTCCTACCGAATATCGGTGGTCCGAGCGTGGCATGCCGGCGTCTCTACACCAGTGTGCTGCGCTCGATGGCGCTGTATGGAGCTCCAGTGTGGGTCGGTGCCCTCACAAGGCCGAACGAGGCTGCGCTGCACAGGGTGCAGCGCGTCATGGCGGTGAGGGTGGTACGAGCATACCGCACTGTCTCACATGAGGCGGCTTGCGTGCTGGCTGGGACGCCTCCCTGGGAACTGGATGCACAGGTTCTGGCGGAGGTGTACCACCAGCGTGCGCGAGAGCGATCCCGGGGAAAGAGTCCGGACCGGGATCGGGTGGAAGGTTGGCGGCGCTCCGCGCTCGCCTTGCTATTTCGCCGGTGGAGGCGGAAGCTCTCTGAGCCAGTGGCCGGGTTGCGAACCGTGGAGGCTATTCGCCCGCTCCTCAAAGAGTGGGTGGACCGCCGACACGGTTCCTTGACCTTCCGGCTGATGCAGATCCTCTCTGGGCATGGTTGCTTTGGGAGGTATCTGTGCCACATAGTCGGAAGAGAGCCGACCGCGGCGTGTCACCATTGCAGTTGGATGGATGACACCCCCGATCACACCTTGGCGGAGTGCTCTGCGTGGGCGATAGAGCGTCGCCAGCTCACCGCGGTGGTTGGCGCAGATCTCTCGTTGCCGGCAGTGGTTCAGGCCTACATAACTACATAACTACACTAACCTTAACAAATGTTCAAAGTGAGCTCCTTCTCGTGTAATACACAGTTCGGCACGTTTACACATATTGTCTTTCATACGATTTAATACGAATGGGTCACTTTTAATAGTTTTGAAATCACTATTGATTTTTAATTTCAACTCCTCTCTGTTTACATACTCTGTAGCATACACAAGACGTTTCCTTGGGCATGTGTTGGAACACGGAACTGTCCGAAGTCTCGTAATCTTTGATTGGCGTTTAAGATGACGCTGGCCGTAGGTACTCGACGATTGGGGAACATCTCCCGGTACAAATTGATTGCGCCCGGCAAGCTATCATTTTGCACGCGCATACGCATGAACCATGTCCAAGTATTCTGCATTTATGTATTGAAAAGCCATACTTAATTACTAATAAGTAATAACGGGTCACACGCACACACGACAGATTATTATTAGGTATACGCGTAAGATCGATCGCTAGGCGCGCGCGCGGGAAGTCGAACGTACGGACCTTACGGCGGCGCTCGCCCGACTAATTAGCCACGGGGCGGGGGTTGGGGAGTAGCGACACACTGGCGCCGGCAAGGCTGGGTACGTGTAAAAACTTTATTTATTTATACGGAAATTTGGTCAAAAATTAAGTACCTATTTTTTTTACATAATTCGAATGAGAATCATGTACCGAGTATGCTCCTTAAATATTGATAGTAATTCACCAGTCACCCTGTATAATTATCTTATTAAAATAAATAAAAACAGTGGGCCTATAAGCAGTTACTGACTAAATAGATATTGCGAATAGTTGAAGATTAAATCCAAGATGCTTTTTAATATACATATTTCCATCGTCCATTATTTTTTTCTTAAACTTTTTAAACAAGGTGGTGAGCTTTTTAAAACGTTAATATTTCCGCCTCTTGTCTTGAAAATGTCTTTAATAAAATGATATTTTAAATAGAGACATTTTTTACATTACCTCCCACATACCAGACTACGGAAAAACACTCTTGATGATATGAGCTACCTAGGGCCTATTCGTCAAGACGAAGGACAGAGAGCCAGAGCTTTGTTTTGTTTGAGGTTCAACCAAATCGTTTTTATAAGCCAGACTATGTGGCCTGTAGCAGGTCTCTATATGTTAAGATATGAATTCCTCAGTCATAAAACTGGGATACTCCGACGTAGGTGAAACTAAGGTTTTCGGATATTATTATATGACTAGATGATCAAGACGTTTCTGTTCCTGTGCAGCAACTATTTTCAACATAGACTTCTCAGCTAAGCAACTTAGCGAAGACAAGTGAATTTGGGGTGCCCAAATTATTATAATGTGTTTTGGAATTCTTTTGATGCAATCTGAGAACTTCTAATAAGACTGTTTGTAGGGATAGGCCCTAACAAGTTAAAAACAAGAGTGATCAAAATGATGGACATATCCATTCCAATGTCAACACTAATGGTGTATTAGAATCACTTAATGATGATCTAACCTCCCACCAAAAAACCTTTACTAGACGAGTCCAAAACTTTTTGGCACTTTTAGATACATTTGTTTTACTCGTTACATTGTTTACCCTTCATAGATATTCGGAATTCCGATTTATCCCTCTTACGTTCCGAATAATAATAATAATAATAATTTGAGTACCTAAGCTACAACCAAAACTCAAGCGATGCACATTTCAATAAACAGCTCATTTACTTAATAACCATAACACAATTTTATTGTTGATTCTTCTTCTAAACAATGTTTTTGTATTATTTTTAATTACTTTTTATAAAAATGTAACTTTACATGCTGAAGACGGAAGTATAATTTTTAATTGGAATCTGAATAGTGTCGATCATGTAAAATCTATTTCATATACTTATGTTATCACTGAAGAACAAGATTAGATATTAATTACTATCATTTGGTTCTTCTTATGTTCATAAACATCAATTAATTGTTGTTAAGCTTTTCGCAGACTTCTATTTTTCTTGAGCCAGGGTAAATAAGAAGTTTATCGAGGTTATGAAACCAGACAGCTACATGACAGTTTCTAATCATATCTATCAATAATTCGATACCTCCCACGTAAGTTGTTGTATCTCCAAAACTGTAATTTTACAGTTGAGCGTTTCAAAGAATCAAATTAAACCAAAATCTGCATTTAATGATGCATATTTTTAAAATTTCGTATTTAAATTTAACATAATAGTCTTCTTAACTAAGTTAAAATATATTTTAATTAATATGCCTATTTGCGGCGATATCGTTGTTAAATTGTTCATACGACATTTTACTCCGGAGTAGAAGCTAAAAAAGGTGTTGTGTCTGATACCTACAACATTATACCGCGGCGACGAGGTACGAGTGCATCACTTGTGGTATATGATAGTCTTACTCTGTTATATTATGTAACTCATACGCGGCATGAGCGCGTGATTTTACCCACCTCACGCCCCGTGTCAACAATTGCATAGGCATATACATCAGTTTAATTCGTTCCCGTTTGAAAATTACAACTTTATGCGTCTGAAAAATCCTTTAAAAATAGTGTTTTTGTTGTTTTTTTTTAATTTGAATGGATGTTATGATCAATAAAAGGATATTTTTCATAAAAAAAGCAAAATAGCATTTTTGTGGCATACAACTTACGTGGGAGGTATCGAATTAATTAATCAATCTTTTGTATACTTATCAATATATTTCATCCAGAAAGACTTAATTTTTGTGTTCTTTTTTCTTAGTTAAAGTTACATACAGTGTTAAGGTGACACTGGCAACCTTTGTAGAAAAGTATTTTTAAACATTTGTGTTAGTTTATTCAGCAACCTTGTCATGATTTTTCCTGCTAATTATGGAAAAGAACAATACACAAAGAACAGTCCAACCATTACTTGCTTATAGGTGAAAAAGAAAATAATCAGAGCTTTGAGTTCGTAAATATACTTTTGTATTCATTTAATATAACTCTTTCAAAATAACGAGAAAAAAAATATTAAGTAAATTGAGGTATCAAAACTTAATAAGCTTATAATTGGTACTTTTTATATTTTTAGGATTTTATTATTACTTACTGTAATGATGAAAAAGAAATAGGTACATGTTATTTTTTACATAATATTTATTATTTAAGTGAAATCGTTCAACTTTTGTATTAAATTGGATAACGGGTTGCAGGTTGTAAATAACATTTATTGTGATATTTAGAGTAAATTACGATAAGACCGTCAGTTTTACTTAGAAAGACAATTCAAGAGATAAAATGTAGAAAATGAGGAACTTTAATGAGTTTTCAATAAAACTTATTATGTGTCTAAAATTTACTCGGACTAGATTAAAAGCAAAGTGAAAAAACTAGGTAAATAGAAATAGTAGTCCAAAGCATAAAGTCTTGATCGCTCGCTCGTAGGTATTCTTTGATAGAATTAAAAAATATACATTATATGAATTATTTTTTATTAATATTTCATTACTTTACATAAAATTATATTTGACAAAGATAAAAAGACCTTGACCAATACCAAAACAACTTATACAAATATTATTTACAGTAATCATATTCAACGCATGCTCTAGCTGAATCCGTGTGAGTGGATATTTTATTAACATTTGATTTATCGACTGTAGTCTCCGCATTTGTAACATTTGCATTCAGCGGGCTCCCTCAATCTTACTTCCATTATAGCACGGTCTTCATCAACAAGTCTCAAGCCATCAGCATCATAACAATGAGTCAGTGTTACCAGACGTTCTCTTAGGTAGTTCTCTTTGCAGCAGAAACATTCCTGTAGGATACAGTAATTCATTTACAACTAGTCTTTAGTTAGTACAAAAAAATCATATGAATTCTTATATTTCTTTACCTTCAGGAAGCCTGTGGGTGTAACAACTGATGGCTGAACCTGGCTGTTGCATATTCCTTCACATTTGTTGACACTAACTTCTCCGCTGCATGATCTCACTAAACTTCCCATATCGTCATATTCCTCTGAAATAAAACAAATTTATTGATTCTACTTTATTTTTGGTTGAAACTCTATATATATACTTTTAATCTCACTTGCATTTATTTAAGTTGTAGTATCTTATGTAAGACAACGAAACAAAATTAAAAATTAAAAAATATATTTTTTTCTTCTAAGACTAAAAATAAGCTTGTAATACCTTTTGTTACGTGAATCTCTGTTGGAAGGGTTTCACAATTTTCATCTGCATAACAGTTTAATGTAAGAAGAAATAAAACTTCCAAAATGCAAATTGCTATGGTTTTGGTAAAGAGAGACATTTTTTTTTTGTTATTCTTTATCAAATGACTTTCCAAGCTAGACTGAAGAATGTTCCAATGGTATCCCCTTTTATACTAAAAATATTTTATACTATATTAACTTCAAATATTCGTTATAACATTAGGCTCATGTTAACAGCGGGCGATCAATGCTGGAGTAAGTAATAATACTGTTCGCTAACTCGTGCTAAATGTTTTAGTTAATGAAATAATTCTTTAATCTTGTACGTTGAATTAGAATATGATAGAAATCTGAAAAATCTAAACTCATTATTATTATAATTTAACTATTTTCCGTACATTTGAAAGTTTTATTGTTATTTGAATGACTTTAGAATTAAAATTAATAAATTAAATATTATTTTTCCAGTAGTATAAGAAATGTGAATCTATTCGTGTAAAACAAAAATATGTGTGTAGTGTATGTACATACATAAGTAAACTTACGTCTCATTCACAGAAAAATTTATTGATGGAATTTAAAGAAACAAATGTACGTACCTAAAACTTAAACAAAAATACCCTCGAAAGAAGTTGTTTTTAGACAACAAACATTTTATACTATAAGAGTTGAAATGCTTAAACTAAAGCTTCGACGACATTTGCTTGTTTTTATTGGTATAGCAAAAAAAACTTGTTCAACTCTGAAAATTAGATATAATGTCATATAATATACCGTGTTATAACAGGATTCCAAATAAATTAAGCTATAAAAACCACTTGTACTTTATATCGTTACACAATATTCAAAACTCAAAAGATTCTTATATATCTTAGTTACAGTTTTTTATAACAAAGAAAACGTGTTTTCATTTAAATAATGTTTTTTCTTATTTGGAATAATTGTTATATAAATGAACTTCAAATTATTTGGTTTAATTACAATACTGAACCTTTTGGCAGAAACTTTTCAGTCGATTTATAACTAATAGATGAAATTAAATATTTGAGATGATGACGAATTGGTTTTGACATAAAGCTTTTGTATTGTTTTATATAAGTTATCACCTTACTAGAAAGCTAATGAACTATGTACGTATTACAGGTTAATTAGTGTAATGTAAAATGTGTAGGTATGATAGGTCATTGTAAACTATTCATCATAGAAACTAAAAGTTTGTGGAATTAGAGACAGTAATCAACATATTTTAATAGGTATCGAGGTACATAAAAGTCTATTATTTATTTATTTGTGTTGTGCTATGTTGAAATATCTTTTAACTTATTACGTTTGGACAACATATTAAAAAATAAATGAACGTCGCCGGACAATATCTTCGTATTTATAAAATATCATATAACGAGTAAGGCTGCTGACTCCACGGAACGAACACCAAGCTGTGTGAACCAGAAGACTGCCGATAACACAAAAGCGATGGAGTAGGATTGTTATGCTAACATCGGAACAATCATGTCTTAGGTGTATATTATAAGGTTTAATATGTAATTCTTATGATAATATTCATATAAGTAAGTTTCTTAGGTTTCCTTGAACCTACGGTTGCCACCCTACATAATTAACTGCTTGTATCCGATAAAATTAAAACTTGTCAGGGCAAATGAATATGAAGTACAGAACTTATTGGACAAATACTAGATTTCTTTAAACGCCTTTAATATAGTATCCTGCACCTGCAGCAATTTTATTTACATTAGTTCAATACTGCCAGCGGCATCGAACGTAAAGGAGAGTAAAGACAAAAACATTTTGGATGAAAATGGTTACTAGAATTACTTGTAATCTAAGAAAAAAAATGTACAAATTGGTGATAAGATGTATTATATTGTTTGAATTTGAGTGATGTGCCATCAACAATTCGGATGAAAAGTTATCGCATGCTGTCGAAATTGATGTGATTCCATAGGAATGGATAAAATGGAGGATAAGAATATTAGAGGAAGTTACAAAACTGGACCGGTTACGGAGAAGTCAGAATACAATTGGTTGAATTCACATGTTTTGGGATCGGATGAAAGACACATAATGAAAGAAGTGTTGAAAGTGAATGTAGAGGGTTACAGGGCTTAAGAATTACCTAGAAAGTGTAGATTTACAAAACCTTGTTTGCTGTTATAAAACAGAAAGCGTTACTTTTCATTTTAAAAGTTAAAAGCAAACACCATACATGTCTGAGATTCATACAATTATTACAGGAGGGCTTCCCCAACATATTTTGTTTACAATCCACTTTGAAAATAAATTAAATAATTTAGCTCCTACATTTTTTTACCTACTGTAAAACCACCATAACCCATCTTAGCTAAATGATATTAAAAATCACACCCCGGGCAGGGGCCCGATAGGGATAGGGATCCAACGCGCTCATTTTTGTCTGTCTCTTACTCTTACTCTTCCTTTTAGGCCTGCAGATCCAAAAGGGGGAGTTATCACCCACTTTGGAAAAGGTTGCTTTAAGAACTTAATATTAACTTCTTCAAAATTATTGGTATAGCATATGTAGGTAAATGTAATGAGATGTAAGACTTTCGAGAGTATTCATATAAATGAAAATAATATTTTTTTTGTTCCTCGCGTAATATTATCAGATTACACGAGTAATCCGAAAAATATTACCAAAAAATGAACCAGTGCGGACTTGATGTTGCCAACAAAATACGCCGGTTGGAGTACCTCAAGACGAAGAAAGCTAGTTTATTACCATCCTTGAATTTCCTCACTAGATGCCGGGATAATGACATCATATCAAAATGTGTCAAAATATCACCTAAGAAAGACATCAAACATAGCGGCAGGATACTCCATAAGTCATGTATTGTCCGTTAGACTTTAAAATGAGATTTGCATTTGTATGAGTGAAAGTAAAAATACAGATAGACAAAAAACTTTAAGAATTAAATTTTATTATATTTTAAATAGATACATAATATAATAAGTGTAGAGCTATTCTAGATTAAAAACTTGTAAAAGGCTAGATGGAAATATTATGAATATTAAGGAAAAAAAACTTTAATTATTAAAAAAAAATAAAAACTATACAAATTCTTCTTTACTTGACATGTGTTTCCAACATTTGACGCCGCTACCTATAAACACATCAACAGTTTTTTTTCTATGGAAAAAATGTCATCTACGACAGCAAATAAGAAATTATAAATAAGAAAATAACAGTAATTCATGTGAAGGAACAAAATTTTATATAAATTTTCAACAAAAGTCAAATCTACAATCTCCTTTACCCTAGCCCTGTTAAAAAACACCACGAAGCAATAAGGTCAAGTTTAGTTTGAATTTTTTTTTACATACTTCTGTTTTATATCCCTTTTAATTTTTATACATTTGTGTACGATTAGTTATATCATAATAATAAATTACAAATAGAGCATCAACACAATGTATTAAATATTGGTATATAATCTATGGCGCATTAATATCTGTGTGTATGACGTTATTGATTGCCGGTTCAACGTCAATTGAAAGTTGTTTGTCTGTAGGTTGACATCTGATTATAGTGTGTTTCTAAGTTCCTATTGAGAAAAGGTTACCATTATATTTGCTAATTAGGAAATATTAAGTATAATTAAATATTTTTTCCATAATGGATGAGAACATTCTCTTATTTCTTATATTAACCTTCTCATGGATTGAATATATATGGGAACTATATCTCTCCTTACGGCAGGTATGAGTTATGACTGATTATGACTGATTTTACAAAAGTATATTGATTTTAATAAAGATTTTCTTTAATTACGAAAGTGCAGAACGGTTTTCGTTTAACAGTTACTAATTTATCATGCTGAATATAAAAAAATCTATAATAGTATGCAGTTCGACACAGACCACGTCAGTAATTGAAAAATAATTGCTGATTTGTAATATGATCATCTTAAATATATTTTCCAAATATGTCATTGATTGAGTTTGTGTAACAATCATAACTAAACTTTTTTAATATTTCAGCGTAAAATATATAAAACAAACAAGACCATCCCTGAGGACCTTAAAACGATGCTAAATGAAGAGCAATTTGAAAAAGCTCGTATATATGGAATTGATAAAACAAACCTCAAAATAGCTAAGGAATTTTACAGTATGACACTAACATCAATAATTCTTTATAAGAGATGGATATCTGTTGCATGGGAAAAGTCAGAAGGCATTGCTGAGATTTTCAATATCAGTCCCAAACAAGAAATACTAATAAGTTGTACCTTTATGACATTTGTAACATTATTTAACTTCGTTACTAATATGCCATTTTCAATCTATGGTACTTTTGTTCTTGAACAGAAACATGGTTTCAACAAGCAAACTGTTGGCTTTTTCATAAAAGACCAATTGAAATCTTTAGTACTCAGTCTTGTTATCACATTACCTGTGGTTTCAATGGCAATATACATTATAATGCTGGGTGGTAAGATGTTTGTAGTTTGGCTATGGCTATTTACCACTGTGACTACTTTGTTACTGCTAATGCTTTACCCTTCAGTAATAGCACCACTGTTTGATAAATTTGTTCCTCTATCTGATGGTTCTCTGAGAACCGCTATAGAGAATCTAGCATCAAAACTTAAATTCCCTCTTACTCAGATATACATTGTGGAAGGGTCCAAAAGATCGGCTCATAGTAATGCGTATTTCAGTGGTCTGTTTGGTGCTAAAAGAATTGTTTTATTTGATACTTTACTAGAAAAAGTAGATGAAGATAAAAAAGTTACAACGGGCTGCACAGAAAGTGAAATTTTGGGTGTTTTAGCACATGAACTTGGTCACTGGAGTTGTAGTCACATTTATAAATCTATAGCTCTAACTGAAGTTAACCTACTCCTCCTATTTACAGCATTTGGGGCTCTTTTTAGATATTCTATGTTATATATGGCTTTAGGCTTCCCTCAAGGACAGGAACCAATTATTATCGGACTGATTGTTGTGTTACAACTTATTCTCGCACCATACAATTCACTTCTATCATTCTTTGCTACAGCTTTATCTAGGAAATTTGAGTTTGAAGCTGATAACTTTGCAGTTTCCCTTAATTATTCCAAAGAACTGAGATCTGCTCTCATTAAGTTAGGAAAAGATAATTTAGATTTCCCCATCTACGACAAACTGTACTCAGCCTGGTACCATTCACATCCGACTTTGTTGCACAGAATTGAAAATATTCAGAATTTAATCAAAGAGCAAAAGAAAGAATCGTGAATTATACATAAAAATAATAGCAATACAGTGAGTTGTCTACTTATATCAGTACAATTAATAATTAAGTGGTTTTGCATGTAAATGTGCTACTATAAGATTTATTTTATGATAATTCAGCGTAATTAATGTATTTTCCCCTGCAAAATACATGCACAAAGTGAAAATCGCATTTAACTTTGCAACATTAAAAAGAATTAGGCTTAAAAAGTAAACCATAATGTTTTGAAGGCATTTAAAATATAATGGACACCAATATTTTTATAAGTATATTTTATGGGTTACCAATATAATATTGGATATTATAACACATATACCATCTAACTATAAGATATTTTTATATAACTGTCAATTCCCATATACTTTAGTGGTTCAATAAACTTTTCTATGTCTTACGCTTGTATGTTTTATTTCTTTTTTTGTCCTCTTTTGTTCTGAAAAGAAAAATATTCGTACAGTAATTTCCGATATCTCTGCATTTGAAACAATGGATTAAAAAAATATAGCAATATTAATAAATTATTACTTTTTATAAAATTCTTCAGCTTGCTCCAAGGTATCGGGCAATGGTTGATCCTTTGTTTCAGGCAGAGGTATAAGTAATGCTAATTGACCGAATGACATTATTGCCAGAAGTATTAACGGAAGGTCTGGTCTCAATTCTTCGAGATTTACAACAGCAGGTGCGACCATGGCAGCAACCCTAGCGAATGTTGTCACTCCACCTACGCCACCATTTCGTCCTAAGGTCGGGAAAAGTTCTCCGGAAAACAAATATAAAGCCGGTACCGTGCCCTATTTCGCAACATACAAATTATTACCTAATCCAAATGACTATACAAGTAAACTCTCAAATTATCGACTTACTGCTAGACCAGCAAATCCTAAACCAGCAAATAAAAGACGTGGCCAATCATTTACAAATACATCTTTTGGTATAATGAAAATGAAGACAAAACAAAAAGCCGTTATTGTTTGAAATACCCAAACTGTTGGTTTTCGTGCAAGTTTTGTTACAATTAAGAGACAAGCTATTCCACCAAATACAGAAATAAGCCCGCTAATTGCAACTGTTAAGAAAATGTTACAACCGATTAACCCAAGGTACTGTGAGAACGTAAAAAATTCTAAGCCAGTGCAGAACCTAAAAATTGACAATGCGTGTTTAATTGGTCATTGGGATATCAAAGAGGGAAATTGATTTCACTGATACCAATTCAACGACAGCAAAAACGTTATAAGTCGCATGCTGTCCGATTTTATAAAAGCAATAAATCCAGGATCGTTTCGAACGCCAGTTTTATAAAGATTTAATGATGGTAACGCATCTTTTAGAAATTTTTCTCTGCCGTTTTGTTTTGCTGCATTTTCTAACACCACTAAAACAAGCAAAAACATTCAGTGATAACTGCAATTGTTAGTGTACCTTTTACTTAACAGCTTTCTACATAATTTAGAAAATATATTTATAATTACTACTGAGGATCACATTTTTACCTAAAGCCTTTTCAGTTTGGCCAGTAGCAATAAGCCACCTAGGTGATTCTGTTATCAACACCCAATAAAATAAAAATAGTGACGACAGTGTGGCCAACGCAATTTCCAACTTTCGCCAGTCCCGAAGCCAATAGGCGAGTATCGCCATGACTGTATTACCAAGACCAAAAGGTAACTGGTATACAATGGGTATTATTGTTCGCCATTTGCCTCCTACGATCTAAACATTATATACTGATTGTTATCCATAGGAATATTTTCATGCAATACACCTAATATCCATATTTTAATATTCTTCTTACCTCCATACTTAAAACAAACGATATAATACCAATTCCACCGGAAGCCAAAGCTAGAATAAACCAGTTTACTAAAAACAACCAATACCATGGTAATACACTAGTTATGAAGCTAGCAATGCATTGTATAGTTATTCCGATCATTAATGGGATTTTGCGTCCACACTTATCTGCGATTATACCAAAAATAATGCCACCAAGAAGAACTCCCCACATCATTATGCTTTGGGTTAACTAAAAAAGAGTACATATACGTTTGGTAATGCAAATTTCGAATAAAATTGTTGAGAAATACCTTTCCTTTAAAATCTACACTAACGTGGATTAGCCAATGTCTCGAGCACACTAAATCCCAATCTGAAGAAATTGTTCGTGTAAATACAGTAGTATTGTAAACAAATCGAGGACATTTCACTAAAGGTATCAGTTGTCTCTCCATATACGGTAAAACAAGGAGTATCTCGGGGTCGAAAATCAAACAAGGATATTCTTCAATTAACTGCAATTTGTAAAGTAGTAATTAATAATACATCTAATTATTTCTAGATTTATATACCTACTCGATATTGTTTTGTTTTAAAGAATGTCTGTACATAACACACATACCCTCTAATATCAATATCAACTTTAGCTAAAATGAAGAATGGACTGTGTAGATAAAATAATATTATACAAATGTGTAAGTCGACGTACATATTATGACGATTATAGTTACGATATTTTTGCAATTTCAAGGGGCTAATGCATTGGGTATTAATTTCAGCAAATATACGGTGACCTTATTGGCTTAGCATAAATACAAATAAAAAAAATTGAATAGGAATTGTTAATAAAAATTATAGATAACCACGATAATCTAATTGCTTCTTTAATTAGAACTTACAGGAGCACAGAGTCGTCTCCATTCTTTGTCCGTCAAAAAACTTAAAGATTCGGGCTTAGCACACCAGAACTCTTGAGGCGGTGCCATAAATATGATATTTAATTGATACCATGCTAACGGCAGTTTCAATAAAGCCATATAAACACTCAACCATAATTGCCATTTTCCAAATTCTCCAAGAACTTTCAAAGTTACGTCTTCAGAATTGGCATCGGAATTTCTTAATTCCGATGCCAATTCATTACTCTTTGAATCTGGAAAAAAAGAAAAGTTTTACTTTAGATTTTATTGAAAGCGATTTTATATATTCATAAAAAGTAGTATCATCATAGAAGTAGAGAGGATAGTAATTTTAAGATGAAGGATAAAAACTTATTAATATATTTATATTTTAATAATGGAGTCCACATTCCCCATAAGTATACAAACGTAAAGTCTTACATCACTTTTGGGTTGGATATACATTCAAATTAAGAAAAATAGACTCGTCGTGGATTTATACGTAGTAAAAGTGGGAGTGAGAGGTATAGCGGCTAAATCTCTTTACAACCTACTAAAAAACTTAAATTAGGTCTGTCCACAACTCAGATTAATTTATTCTTGGAATGTACTTCAAAGGCAGCCATAGTAGGTTCTTTTAAATTTGGTTAGTTAGAGAGAGAGGAGCTTGGAAAGTGGAGGTGAGCGTTTAACGCGCGTTAGATAGGAGCCCCTTAAACCTACACCTCGCAAGTCCCAGGCACTGTTGAAGCTCTTCTCCCTGCAACGCGATGGACCCGGCACCCGCACGGTGAATCCACTGAATGCTAAGAGATTTCGTCTCAATTCTCAGCTATTGAATTTATTCTCAATTCAGGAGTTAAGTCATTGAATACTAAAGCTAACCGTTACCTTTGTTTCGTCTATAAAATAAAGAACTAACTTTTAATTAATGTACACAAAACTCATTTTCATTCACAAAATCTATTTTTGAATGTTTAATTGTACACATACTTCTCAATAGATTTTAAAAAATAAATTGTAAGCATTTTCATTATATACATTCGAAATATCAGTGATATTGATAACATTGAAATGCTAGTGGTTATTTGGGGAAATGTCTTCGATGACAGTCAGGAAAATGACAAAGCATCTTCAGAGATCCCAAAGTTCCCCTTCACGGTAGACATAACCCAGCTCAGACCTTTTCTCTTATTAGTATAATATTGTATAGGCTGATTACCGACTATCACAATAACGTTCGTTCATTGAAGCACAAGTAACTTTTCACTCATATCTTTTAAGTAAGTACATGATTTTAGAATTTTATTTACCAAAAGGTTTTAGTAATTCCTCCAGCAATCAATTTCATCATTTTAAAGCCCTTTCACTAACCCTAACACTAAGTTCATTTAAAAAGAAACTAAAAAGACCATATGTTTTATAAGAGTATTAAGTTCAAGCCTTCACCGTGATGAAACTTGTTCATAATATTGGTGTATAATGTAAAAACTCGACCCGACGGCCGACACGGAGAATATGACTAGAATAATGATGTATCTAAAACCTATTTATTTCATATCATTAATTTAAATTTACAAGTAAATTTTGGTATCAATTTATTTCTGAATACCTCACCGTTTTTCGTTTCAGAAGCATCTTTTCTAACACTAGTACTGTTTTTTGCAACGCCAGATGATAATTTTTCGATTTCATCTTCTGACATTACTAAGAATAATGTTTGCATCTTGACTTATAGCCAAATAGCAATAACTTCTTTAGTATAACGTACGAAGGTACTAATAAAACCTTTTTGGATTAATAACAACTTTTTAAACGACAGTTCTTACAAAAGTTTGAAATAGGACACAGCTATTCTTCTTTTACACACTCTATAATAATATAATAATAATAATTACAATTTACAACCAAAACTCCACTTTTGCAGTTTATACAATTAACAACCATTTACGGTAATAAGCTGTCTTTACCCATTATAAAGTTTCAACTATTATGCTGCCTTTTTATACTTAGAGTACAAAAATAACACCCTAGTTACATATGAAAACAGTTAAATACTATTACTTAGAACTGCAGAAAGTGACTTCACTGTAAATGTTAACTTGAATCCAAAACTTTTATTGTAGCATCATCCTTATATGGATATACAAAAGAGTTAATAAACTAATTAATTCTAAGTGTTCTTTGCACTAACAAAGAAATTATTTTCATTATTTGAAACAACATTTTTCCTTACTGGTAATAGAAAACATTCATCAATTACCTATTTAAATTGTTTTTCTCTTATGTTGGACCTTCAGAACCTTCTTCGTGAAATACATTGGGACTCCCCCAATTCCCTTTCTTGAGAGTATTATTGGTAAAAGACTAAATTTAATTATAGAAACACTAATGAATCTTAAAATTAGTAATTTCCATTTTAAATTAGTTTTATCATTTAAAATAAGATTTGATCAATTAAAAATTGCCCTTCCCTTTATTTTGAGCTCACGTAGTTAATGGATACCCTCATATTAAATGCTCCATTATAAATTATAATTAAAATAGTGAAGAATGAATTCTTTTGAGTCTATCAAAACGAAATCGGTCTCTTTTTATTACTTTTGATTCAAAAATCTTGACTAATCTATTCAGATATTTTTTATTTGCAACACTGGAACAAGAATATCACAGAGTATACTACAACTTACAAGTGTTATGTCTATATTTTATGAATAACTATATTCAATATACGTACTTATATGTACGTAGTAAATCTCTACAATTTCACTACACTTGTTTTAATGAATGAAGAATCAATTAAATATACAACAAACTTAGTGTTGATTTGGATTTCTATTTTTTATAAATACTAATATATTTGTGCTGAATGTGTATTATTGCAAGATAAAATGCCTTTGGCCAATGCCACCGACCCATGGCGAATGCAAAATGTTGGAGATGTTACGGTATGTTATTAAAAACAAGTATTTGTTTAGTTAATTTTCCTTCATTATTAAATTCTAAATATAAATGTTCGAAAATCATAGTTTTGTAAGGAACAGATTTATCTTATTTTATAACATAAGGCAGCCCTTATTATCATTTATCAATTATTAAGAGAAACGCCCATTGACTATATGTTACAGCATAAACACAATGATTTGGCTAATAACTAACAAATTTTTAGTAAAACATCAGTTAAAAAATTAACTAATCCGTCTAAAAATAGATTATCAAGGAATTAAAATTAAACATATGTTTCAAAGATTACTTTTATTATTATTTAGTAATTCATTATGTATGAAAATATTTTAATACCTCATCTAAATATGTACTAGAATAAGTCATTCCTTATGGCAAAAATTGTGTACCTTTGTTATATAAAATATGTAAGTATGTAACAAATGTTTTATGTTACATTTCAGCGTGGTGTTGTATCACAATCTACCAACAGTCTTCCGATGGTTGTAGAAAATGCAGCTGAATCGAGACAGGCATCAACAACCGAGAGTCTTGAGTCAAGTGTGACAAACAATGATCAGAATTATGAAAGAGAGGTCGAGCTCCAGGATGTAGTTAAAGAAGGGCATGAAAAGGCAGACCCTTCTCAGTTTGAGCTTCTAAAGCTTCTAGGGGAGGGCTCCTTTGGTAAGGTTTTCCTCGTAAGAAAAGTTACTGGCCCTGACACTGGTACACTATACGCCATGAAGGTAAGTTTTATGGAAAACACATTTTTATATTGTTATCATATGTGTTACTAAATATCTTTTGTTTAGGTACTAAAAAAAGCCACATTAAAAGTGAGAGATAGAGAAAGAACGAAAATGGAAAGGAATATATTAGTTGAAATGGGCCATCCTTTTATTGTTAAACTCCATTATGCCTTTCAAACTGCTGGTAAATTGTATTTAATATTGGATTTCTTGAGAGGCGGTGACTTGTTTTCCCGATTAAGTAAAGAGGTAGATCATTTTACAGTACTTTCTTACAATTATTTTCTTATTAACCATTAACATTTCATAAAAAAATTCAATTACAGGTTATGTTCACTGAAGAGGATGTTAAGTTTTATCTTGCTGAATTAGCATTAGCATTAGAACATGTACACAAATTGGGAATAATATACAGGGATCTAAAGCCAGAAAATATTTTATTAGATGCGGATGGACATATAGCTCTAACTGATTTTGGTCTATCTAAACTACCTCCTAGTGATAAAGCATATAGTTTTTGTGGTACTGTTGAATATATGGCTCCCGAGGTTGTCAACAGAAAGGGCCATACAATGGCTGCTGATTGGTGGTCATTTGGGGTTTTAATGGTAAGTCAAAATTAAACTATAATATAATTATTTCAATTTGAAATATAATTATTTCAATTTGAAAAAAATAAAGTCGCGTAGTATATCCGAAAAATATTAGTTTCAATTAAATGAATAAGACTCGCGAAAATCTTACTTCTCATTACCGTAAATTTATTTTTGTACTACTCATTTTTCATTACTCATACAGCATACTGTTAAAACTTGATGAATCATTTAGTATGTAAGTAAACCAGAGCACTATATAAAAATTTTATTGGAGCTTTTTATTACAGTTTGAAATGCTAACTGGCAATCTCCCATTTCATGGCTCTACAAGACATGAAACAATGACACAAATACTAAAAGCTAAACTGGGCATGCCTTCAAATTTGAGTGAGGAGGCACAATCATTGCTACGAGCATTGTTTAAGAGAAATCCACACAATAGGTATACAAATTACTAATATAAGGAAGTAAAGCTTTTTAAGTAGAATGGCTGTTAATTAATATAGGTGAAATAGATACTGAATTACATCTGGGTGAATTAAAATAAATGCTATTGTCTATAAATTGTATTATACATTTTTTTATATCATGAAGAATATTCTAAGAAAATTAGTGTCATTATTTGTACATTCTATTTTAAAATTTTCAGATTGGGAGCCGGACCAAATGGCATTGAAGACATAAAGAATCATGAGTTCTTTGCTAGTATTGAATGGGAAGCTTTATTAAGAAAAGAGGTAAATTTTCCTGTGATATATATCTAACATTCTCATATTGTTGGGAAAAATATTTTTACTCAAATATGTGCTTGCAAGTAAGAAAAAAGGACACTATTCCACTATAATGCATTCCAGGGACTTATTTTGATTGGTAGTTTAAATCACATTCAAATAGATTTCATATTTGAAATATTTTTATTGTCTTTTCTTAAAATTGTATACTGTTTTCCTTTTCATTTTAAAATACATATATTCTAATTTCTAATTATTAATGAATGTCTCTTTAGGGGAATAAATGAAAGAATTGTCAAGAGAATGTTAGATATGCAAAAAGAAAATCGTATATTTTATTTGTATACATGTTTCAGGTTATTCCCCCATTCCGTCCGGCCGTATCTCGCGCTGATGACGCCTTTTACTTCGATTCTGAGTTCACGTGTCGCACGCCTAGAGACTCGCCCGGCGTTCCCGCGTCTGCTAATGCACATGAACTCTTCAGGTAAAAAAATATAATAAAAACTTTTTAAAATTTTTAATAAAAAGATTCTATGGATATATTGGAAAAAATTGTAAATATAGATATACAATTTAAAAAAATATTCCTTACTACCTGCGCCCCGCGGATTTCCGGGATGTAAAGTAGCATATGTGTTATTCCTGGATGTCAGCTTCATGTATACAAAATTGTATCAAAATCGGTTCAGCCGTTTGAGCGTGAAGAAGTAACATACAAAACATACACACACATTCATAAAGTTTCGCAATTATAATATTAGTAGGAAGTAGGATTTTAAGACATACTTAAGTATTGCGTTCCTTACCCAGGGGTTTCAGCTTCGTTGCACCGTGCTTGTTGAATGAAGACAACAAAACTGTTACCAATCAAAATCAAAACCACATTGCACATACTAAGACGTCAACAGAAGAATTTTGGGCTGGATTTGTAAATAGAAACAATTTCTTTGATGAATACAGGTATAATATAAATTATAGTTACTGCTTGACTGAAACCTTTCACTGTCACCTACATATATTTTGAGTATTTTAAGTTGTACCTTGATTCTATACCAATTAGATACCCTTCAAATTTTTTTCACAAAAACTAATTGTATCAAAGGTAAAATTATGTCTAATATTATTATTTTTGTTTCAGTACACATTGATTTATGATAAGACTATACACACTCTTATTGCATATAATTCATTGAATTTTCTATAATATGACCTCTTTTCATTAGCTTAGACCGCTCTTTCATACTCCTATCTGGTTCATTAATATAACAATAAGTTTACCATTTAATATATGTGTATATAAGATATTTTTCTTTTCAGATTAATGGGTGAATTAGGTACGGGTTCCTTTTCTGTGGTCCGTCTCTGTGAACACAAGACATCTCGCACACAGTACGCTGTTAAGATCATGGATAAGTTACAATACGATCCACGTGAAGAAATCGAAATTCTATTAAGGTGATAAAAAAATTTTTACGTGTAGTGAGAATTTAAAGTAATAAGAAGGAAAAATAAATATTCTTATAATTTATAAAGACATACAGTGATTAATATATATATATATACAGGGTGACTGGTGAATTACTATCAATATTTAAGGAGAATACTCGGTACATGATTCTCATTCGAATTATGAAAAAAAAATAGGCACTTAATTTTTGACAAAATTTCCGTATAAATAAATAAAGTGTTGACACGTTCCAAGTGTTCCAAGTGTGGAAGCGTGCGGCGGCGTGCTCAATGCTCATACAAAACCACGCCGCCGCACGCGTATGTGTGTGTGAGTGTATACCTAATCTGTAGGGTGTTCACACGATGCGTAATTAATTACATAACTTTTGGTTAACTTTACTCAGAAGTTTATTAATATTTATGTTATATTAATTTTTATTTTGTCATATATGATCGTCAAATATCACGTCCTCAAGTATCGATAGTAATTCACCAGTAACCCTGTATATATATATATATATATATATATATATATATATATATATATATATATATATATATATATATATATATATATATATTTTTAATATAATATATTTCAACTGTGGTTGAAAATATTATAAGACCTTTGACTTTTATGTTATATTGTTTCTATCTGTATGATTATCCTACTAAGCAATCATATATACACATTTATATGAATAATACATATATAACATTTGATTCACAGATACAGCCATCACCCTCATATAATAACTCTACGCGGCGTGTACTCGGAGGGCGGTCGTATCTTGGCTGTGACGGAGCTGTGTCGCGGTGGGGAGTTGTTGGAGCACATCACTCGCCGCCGCTGTCTGCCTGAACATGAAGCCGCTCCTGTCATGAGGAACGTCCTACACGCTGTACACTACCTGCATAGACATACTGTAGTTCACAGGTTATACATTAATACATATTATTTACAGAAGTCAGTGGTGGCCTAGTGGTTAAAGGGCTCGCCTCTCGTTGCCGAGGGCGCGGGTTTTTTTTTTTTTCTACTGTCATCTCAAATGTCTATACAGGGTGACTGGTGAATTACTATCAATATTTAAGGAGAATACTCGGTACATGATTCTCATTCGAATAATGTAAAAAAATAGGTACTTAATTTTTGACCAAATTTCCGTATAAATAAATAAAGTGTGGACACGTTCCAAGTGTTCCAAGTGTGGACGCGTGCGGCGGCGTGCTGATACAACACAAAGCCGCCGCACGCGTGTGTGGGTGTGTGTGTGTGTATACCTAATCTGTAGGGTGTTCACACGATGCGTAATTAATTACATAACTCTTGGTTAACTTTACTCAGAAGTTTATTAATATTTATGTTATATTAATTTTTATTTTGTCATATATGATCGTCAAATATCACGTCCTCAAATATCGATAGTAATTCACCAGTCATCCCTGTATATAATCAGATGTGATAACAGATATGTAATTGAAAAATTATCAATTAAAGGGATATAAAGCCGTCTAACATACTGTACGCGACGGCTGAACGTAGACCAGAGGACGTACGTCTGGTAGACTTCGGTCTGGCCAAACAACTGCGAGCTGAGAACGGTCTGTTAATGACTCCGTGCTACACCGCCAACTTCGTAGCTCCAGAGGTTCTCAAGCGAGCTGGCTACGACGCCGCCTGTGATATATGGAGCTTAGGTGATTATCTATATATATATATATATATATATATATATATATATATATATATATATATATATATATATAAAATGAATTGCTGTCCGTTAGTCTCGCTAAAACTCGAGAACAGCTGAACGGATTTATCTTATCCTGATCTTGAAATGTTCGTGGAGGTTCAGGGAAGGTTTAAAAGCTAAAAAAAATTCAATCATTTCCGGAAAAACCCTAAAAACAGCATTTTTCTATTTTCCATACAAACGTTTTTTTTAACATTAGATTTGACAACTAACTAATATGTCAATCATTTTGTCGCACTTCAGTAAACTCCAAAAATATAATTAAAAAAATATTTCTTTATTGATTGAGGCAGTATTAAGTCTACCGGGTCAGCTAGTTTTATAATAATGTTCTTCAACAATTTTAATTTATACTCTAAACTCTAAAGTGTTGATCTTGGTCAACTTATCTAGTACTTTAACTCCTACATTTAAATTTATAATTGAATTTTAAATATTAATTTTGTAATATTTTATGATTTAAGTCTTTACCTAGTACATATTAGGGCATCATTTTAAGATATTCACGTCTTCAGGTGTGCTGGCATACATTATGCTGTCTGGACGAACTCCCTTTGCGTCCACAGGAGATGACACCCCTGAAGCTATATTGGCTAGGATTGAATCTGGAAAAGTAAGTTTTAACATATTTAAATTGTGAACGGTATAAAACGTGTGGAAGGTATTAGTGTAGATTTATTGTATAAAAATAAAATAAAGTATAGATTTGAAAGTTACAACCTTCGACTTCAAGTTGTCATAACCTGACACAACTAAAAAAATAGTCTAGTATTATGATATTACTGTAAGAAGAGAATAAACAAAATTAGGGGCGTGGTTTACGTCACGTGTTAATGGTAACATGGGATCGTTAAGAAATATATATACAGGGTGACTGGTGAATTACTATCGATATTTGAGGACGTGATATTTAACGATCATATATGACAAAATAAAAATTAATATAACATAAATATTAATAAACTTCTAAGTAAAGTTAACCAAAAGTTATGTAATTAATTACGCATCGTGTGAACACCCTACAGATTAGGTATACACTCACACTCACACATACGCGAGCGGGGCGTGTTGTTGTATCAGCACGCCGCCGGACGCGTCCACACTTGGAACACTTGGAACGTGTCAACACTTTATTTATTTATACGGAAATTTTGTCAAAAATTAAGTGCCTATTTTTTTTACATAATTCGAATGACAATCATGTACCGAGTATTCTCCTTAAATATTGATAGTAATTCACCAGTCACCCTGTATATATCTCAGACAGATCATCACTCTCGGTGATGCAAAGCTCACATCTTTATATACATATATAATTCTTCTGTGCGTGTGTATGTCACTGAACTTCTCTCAAACGACTGGACCGATTTTTATTAAATTTTTAGTGTGTGTTCAAGGGGATCTGGGAATTGTTTAGATTCACAATTTTGTCCGCTGGACAATGTTTTTTACTTAATTTTTAATTTATTAGTAGTTGTTGTTACAAACTTTTTTTTTGACATTAGATTTGACAACTAACTAATATGTCAATCATTCTGTCGCACTCCAAAACACGGAGATTTGTGGCGTTAATAGGTAAACTCTAAAAATATAAATAAAAAAACGTAACAGATATTTCTTGATTATAGGGCGATACGAAGTTGGCCTGGTCTTCTAGTATCTATATATTATAATGACACCTTATTCAGTTACTTAATATCAACGTTATACAATCAATACAAATAGCTTTCTACTATATTATTGACAAAATAGTTATGTTAGTTTCATTGTTTGCATAATTAACATCGTTAGCTTTTATGGCAACTAAAATTGACGCGGATTACTACTAGTTATTTTAAAAAATACATACTCCCGACATTTTGGTTACTTCGCATTTCGTCTGACAGTGATAGTATGTAGTTTTAAAAACCATAAAATAGTGCATAGTTATTTGAAAATATTAGTTTAATGTAAATTCCGTTTCCGTTTAGGGACTCACTCAAAATATTTCGTTATAAGTTTTTGTTCAGCTATAAATTAAATAAATAATTTTTACATAAACAAAATATAGGTAATGATCCAATTTTAATTATAACGAACCACCTGCAACCTAATTCTTATATATAGAGATTTTAATAATAAAAACCAATAAGTTAATACGTTTTTTAATATAATGTAATCAATGATTTATAAACTTCCTAATATTTGCGTGCTGTATCTGCCTTAAAAGATAATGCATTTAGAATTAAGCTACACTGTATTTCTTTTTACCCAATATTGTATTAATGTAATTATCGCTGGTGGATCTTAATAAATAAATAAATAAATAATCGTTAAAGTCTTAGATCTCATTAACTGTTGATAATCAGGTGGACATGTCGAGCGGCGCGTGGCAGGGAGTTTCGTCGGAGGCTCGCGGTTGTATTCGTCGTATGCTGCAATTGGAGCCTTCTCAGCGGCCGCGGGCTCACGAGCTGCTCCGCGAGCCGTGGATAGCGGAGACCGCGCCGCGAAGACACGCGCCCGCACCACCCTCGCCTCTACCGCCCGACGACCTACGACGCGCCGTCGACCTCACCTACCAGGTACTACTTCAACGAATATTCGTCCTTCAATCGAACTTATAATAACAATCAGCGATCACATTATGATATTCCAACTTACATTAAAAATGTAAAAAGTTTTGGGCATGAATGTGTGTCACGTCATAATAAAAATTCGTAACGGATATTAACGGATGGATGGATTGAAATTGTAGTTAAATCAGATTAACACATGGCAATAAGTTATCGCAGAATTGCGTTTAATTCCGTCGCGATGACGGCGTAATAGTTGAATTCTCCACATCACGTGGTACAGTTTATAGTTTTCTCTGCTTTTCGCCTATCATTAGCTATTGTTTAAACATATGTTATGAATTATTTAAGTGCATATTACTAAATATGTATTTAATCCCTACTGATATTATAAAGGAAACAGTAATTCTGTCAGTCTGATGACTTTTCAAGCCTAAACCACTGGACGGATTCGGGTTTAGTGCCCGTAATAGCAGAGAAAAATTCTGATGTCCACGCGAACGGAGTCGCGGGCAAATTCGAATCTTTTACAATTATAACTATGCTAATATAAAATTAGACATGTGAGATCTTAGAGTGCTCTGTTTATTGTAATAAAAAAGGTAATTCGTTTATAAATATAATATTTTATATCACTTTTAGGCAATGACATCAGCTCCAATGACGCCTCACATTCTCGGTCCGGTGACACAGTCAACGCTCGCACAACGCCGCATCAAACCCCAAAGACGGTTTCCACCGACGCAAGTATAAACTACTCACAAATATACAAAAAGCCGCCTATTGTTTCACCAATAAAAATTCTAGCTAGTCAACTGATGCCTAGAAACCTAGTATATATACTTTTAATTGATTGTTGCATCTCGTTTGTCATTGCATAAGATGTTTCATATGTTAATACCCATAATAAGTATACAAATATAAAAGTTATTTAAATAACTGGGCATAATAATGTGGCTTTATGTAATTATTTACTTTTTTCGTGAAATCAGACATTACTAGATAAAGTATTAAATTTAATTTAAACATGGAAATATTATTAAGTGATGATTTGCCCCAATTAGTAAAATTGCATTTAATTCTAAATGACTACAAGTCACATTCCAAGAGAAATTTTTTTGGCAATTTGAGATTTTTTCTAATCATAAGCCAAGTAGTCTTCCTGATAATATAAGAATAAAACTATATTTTTAAATTAAAAGAAATTATATCTCCCACCTTCCTTTTAGTCCAACAGTGCCATTGGAAGTAAATTTTATCACACAAATTTCATTCGTGTTATGAAAATAATGAGTTGTCTTCACAATCAGGTGTTAAGAAATTTGGATTTTAGTTTTTGAAAATGGAACTTAAATATTATTTATAACTTAGGACTACAAAATATTGCATACAAAATAATACAAAAAAAATGGGTACTAGGTACAGAAACACAAAAAACCTTTCATATGAATTATAGAAATTCGTTAAAAAAAAATAAACTGTGTAGATTAAAGATCTAAAAAAAATTACTAAAATATTTTTACATTAAAACAATAATTAGTTTTCAAATGCAAAGTATTAATACCACTGTTGTGTAGTGAAACTGATCAACTCACTATTTTCGTATGAATACTTTAATTATTTAGAATAATCATTTAACAAATTATGTATATATAAACACTTGAAACATTTATTTTTTATACAATATTAATTATTATATAACAAAAGTACATTATTTCAAAAATGCTATTTTTATATGAGCATGATAATCCAATACTTTGAAAGCAGATTTGGAAAAGAGATTTAAGAGATGTATATTTTTATTGATGTTTAGTTTCTTAATGAAGTTATTATATTGTCAGTTACTTTAATGGCCTAATATGTTAAGCACAAATTACATTCTATTTGAAAAATATAAAACATAGGTAAAATTTATATTTATTAGAATAAGTCAATCATGTCTATTTTTATTGTATGCTTTAATTAGTGTTAGATTAATTTAGATGTTGTCATATAGATGCAAGTACATACATATAATATAATTTTATCACTCATTATTATTGAATTCAAATATATCAAGTCAGTGTAACTTTTGTATTTGGTTTTAAATTAAGCAGTATTACTAATTTTAATGAAATACAAACATATAATATATAAGATATACAAAACATTTTTAAACAAAACTGAGCACAATAAAGTATCAATAAGGTTTTCATAACATTCCAATTCACATTTACATGTTCTATATTGATAACTCAGCACAATGTTTACATGTGAACTATTGAATCTATATATTTACTTATACTGAAGCTTAGTTACACTGGCTACCATTCTAATAATAAGTTTTTACAGTATTCTTGCTATATATATATATGTTTATTCAAGTTATATGCAAGTTGAAACTAATAATATATTGTTGAAAATGGTGATGGTTTTAGGCATAATAGTATATTTTTATATTTAACAAATACTTCTACAATATATTTAATAAATATTTGTTCAATTATTACAATAATAAATGCAAATATACTTAACCAAAGATATCTAGGTTATATAAATTTAATTTTTATTCAAATATGTTGTGTCATTAAATTGGATATCATTGAATTTTGATGTTTAGTCACATTAAGAAGGAAATATTACCAGTATGTATTGGCGATCGTACTTATACGATTATAAAAAAACATTTCAAAATGTGTACAATGTTCTACCGATTTCAAAATACAAGGTTCTGTATTCGTAGCGTAATGTATGTATGTTTATATCGCTATTTTCACCAAAAGTAGTTTTTTTGATAAATTCCAAAGATCTAAATAAATTGAACACTACAATTACTAGCCGTCTGTTCTGAGAATAATAATAATGAATGGATGATCACAATTGATTTTTAATGGGTTAAAAGTGTAATGGTAATGGAATGTTCAAAATATACTATTGTTGGTTAGTAAATTATTTCAACGCACATGTACAATTTTGTATTGAATGATAAGCATATATTTTAATATGAACATTTCATTATCAAAGTATATTCCTTATATATTATTGAATATAAAGTACTCTATTTCAAAAACGGCCATTAGTGATGATACTATTTTGTCGACTTTTGCATAATTTTATCCTATACAATTTTAGGATAACTATAAGTATTACATTAAAGGAAACTAAAGGAATTGAAATTTAATAGATGCTTACGAAAAATGACCGCCATAATAAACTTATTTATATGAATATGTATAATTCTACTTCTAGAAATAATTGTGGTACATATCTCATGGTAAGTCTGTCGGTATATTGTCATATCATGAATTAATATTGGAACCATTATGTTCCAGAGGCATTCTTCATACTCATATAATAAAATTTGAAACAAAATTCCAATTCATATAAGCAATTAGTAAAACAAATTATTAAAATTTCTAATAGATTGTGGAACTTGATTTAATCAAATTGTATTCATATATAAATTCTATAAGAGAGCAAAATTTTAATAAATTTCTTCTAACATATCTGATTTCAATTAGTAATTTACTCAAATGAATCTGTTCAAATTTCACAGAAAAAATATGTATATTATATTTAGAATCTATGAGAATTTTATTAGATGCTCAAATTAATTTAATTAAATGGAAAATTGACAGAAAATTTATGTCCATATTTATAGCATGTAGAATGACTTCACTATATTGTTGTTAATCAAGTTCTGACACAATGTTTAGACCCTACAAATCACTCTAGCCTCAAAAGCACTATGAAGAAATAATGTTCAACTATAAAATGTATAACATAGAAGTAATTAAATGGAAATATTAATAGAATAAGATTGATAACATAAAAAAAAGTATTTTCTTATTAGATACATACACTGTTGTAGTTTTTTTCTATAACACTATTAAATTGTTAATTACAGTTTGAAAATACATTTTTATACACAATTAAATAGGACCATGACGTGTTAAAAATGATGATGCTATAATCTTTGTGGTGTTGATGATAATTTTATCACATTATCTATTTTTCTATCTTATAAATATAAACTTACTAACAGTACTTTGTTAAAATAGGCCCTCATATAATTACAAATGTAATATATTGTTGACATTGCTTATGAAATTGTTTTATTTCAATATTTTTCAACCCTTAACCTTTCTAGAGAATAAAGTCTTAACACTGAGGACTGCATCCATTTGTTAGGGAACTTCTTAACTTTTTGAAGTCTCCTTAACCTTTGATGCTTTTAAGGATTTGTGATTGCTTTTTGACTTGTTTAATGTTGACCTTTTTATAGCTATAAATAGGGTACCAAATAGATAAAATATTTTTCATTACGGAAGAACAATGATTGACTTATTTGAATTTAGAAATTTTGATTTCTGACTTATCAATTCTTTTGAATGATTACTTAAATTTAAATATTTTTATTTATATAGATAAATATCTGAGATTCAACAAAAAGGAATATGGGGACAAATATTAGAAACAAAATATGATTGAAACAATTTATTACTTATTTTACATTTACACCTTTAAGTGTAGGTGCCCTAACTGGGCCTTTACCAGGGACTACTAATGGATTATCTTTGTAGCATGCAATGGCAGCATCATTAGTTTTTAAATCAGGTGCACAGGTTTCAAATATCTTTTTCTTAGGATTCAATTGGGGCTCCGGTTCTCGAGGGAAGCCTTCACAGGACACAAGATCTCCTGGTACTGCATCAGATGGAGGGATTAAAACCTCAACCTTTTCTGGTGAAGATGCACACATAACCATTGCTTCTGATGTTACACCACGCATCTGAATGTAATAAAATAAAATTCTCATATACATATTTTTTAATACTACTGAGGCAACTAGTATTATACTTAGACACTAAATTTATGATTATTAGAAGTGACAGGGGTACAATAATATAATTAATTCATTTATTTGACAAAATTCTGTAGTTATTTCTCTCTATGTTTAAACTTATATAGCACCTTATAAATTTCAAGTAGCATCATAAAAGTAATAACTTGCCTTTACTGGTTTTAAATTGCAAAGAACCATTACAATTCTGTCCCTCATTTCATCAATTGGTACATGATTTACAAGACCTGATACTACAGTACGTGGGTTGTCCTCACCGCAGTCAATCTTTTCTACATACAATGAATCTGCATCAGGGTGTTTATTAATATCTATAATTTTACCAATGCGTAGGTCTAATTTTCTTATATCAATAATATCATCGCTTTTAACAGGTGGTTTCTTATCTTTCGGTTTCTTAACAGTATCCTTTTCTTTTTTTGGTGCAGGCTCATCTTTGTCACTTTGTTTTACAGGGTCTTGTGCTTGAACTTGATTTGAAAGTGATTTCCCTGGCAATGAGTATTGCTTTTTTCCATGTAAAGTTTCTAATTTTATCAACTCTGCTTTCGCTTCTTCAATCTTTTTCAGAAGTGTTTCATTTTCTTGTGAAAGTACGCTATAAACTTCTTCTACTTTAATTTTTTTCACTTCTGCTAGCTAAAAAAGGTAAAGTTTTACATAAGAAAAACATGTTAATTAAATATGTAGTTCAAATCTGGGCTAAAAATACTTATAAGAATTCTACAATTCTAACCTTAATCTTTAACTCTTCTAAACATTTCTCAGCTCTTTCAGCATTGTGAATAAGTTTTGTTACTGCTGATTGGGACATATTCCTTACAAGAAACCGAAACGACATCAACAGAGTCTCAGTTTACAATTTCAATTTTTTTTTATGTGAAATTGTAAATGTTACAACTCGACTATTAACATCATAGCATGTTAAAATGAAAATGTCATTATCAGATGTCAGTCTTCACAATTCACAGACAACCAAAAACGAATATATTTAACAAATTGGAAACAAAGTATACTTATCAAATTAAAACTATTTAAACGTTTACATTATGAGAGGGACTATTAATAGATCTACATTCTTTTTACGAATATTTGTTATCTGATAACAATTTCATGTTATAACTGGGTTTTTATTTTATGCTTTTATTTTTAAAGTAATGATAAGTTTAAATTATTAAATTAAATTGAAATAACGGGACAAGACATCTTTTGTAAACTAATCATATACTCTAGATACTTTAATAGTATATGAATGAATTTTTATTTTTGCAAAAGAATATGTTACACTGGAACATTATTTTATAGTATATTATAACACAAATAGAAAAATAAAACTTATACCCGATTTATTTACAAATACCTTAATAGTATGTCAACCTCTATAAAAACTATTATGTAAAATTTAAATATATTTCAATTTTTTTTATTTAAAAGTAAATGTAATAAATTATTTAATATTATAAATATTATCATAAAATATTTTTCAAAATGAACTTTACGTGGCAAGGACTAAGAACTGGCAGCATCGAAATCAGGAAAAAAAAATTAAACTATCATGGCTGTTGGAATGGCGTCATAAATAGTCTCTGACGTTGTTTATATTTGTGCAAAAATAATTTGAAGAGTGTTTTAATGTGTTTTAAATACCCGTTGATTAGAAATACAATGTGATTAATCTTTTAAATGGTTATATGGACAATCAATGATAATGTTTTAAGAGTCTTGTAACGAAACAATGTCAAACAATACTGTCGGCTCGTCAGGGCATGCTCCCGGCAAAATACGTGGACCTGGAAGACCCCCTAAACGGACATGCACTTGGTGCGCTGAGAGTAAAACGCCTTTGAAGTATGTTTTGCCTACAGAAAATGGGAAAAAAGAATTTTGTTCAGAAACGTGTTTGTCAGAATTCCGACAAGCATATAGCAAAGGCGCTTGTCTTCACTGTGACAATGTTATACGCGGCAACGCTCCATCCAGTAGCAAAAATTTTTGTTCGACGTATTGTTTAAATAAATATCAAAAGAAAAATGAGAAGAGAACAACTTCGCCTCAATCAGGGAATGGAGCGAACGGTACCGAGCCTCATCAGAATAATAATTCAACAGGATCTTTCTATGACATATACCAGTCGTTTGATTGGAATGAATATATGAAGGAAACTAATAGTGTTGCTGCACCCCAAGAGTGTTTTAAGCAAGCTCCAAATCCTCCTGTGAACGACTTTAAAGTAAATATGAAACTCGAAGCTTTGGACCCTCGTAATTTGACATCTACTTGCATTGCTACAGTTGTTGGTGTATTGGGTCCGAGATTGAGGCTTAGACTCGATGGCAGTGATAATAAAAATGATTTTTGGAGGCTTGTTGATGCTGGTGATATTCATCCTATAGGTTATTGTGAGAAAAATGATGGTATGTTGCAACCACCTCTTGGTTTTCGTATGAATGCCAGCAGTTGGCCCATGTTCCTGCTGAAAACATTAAACGGGGCAGAGATGGCTCCATCAAAGGTTTTTCAACCTGAACCACCTACTCCTAAATCAAATTTGTTTGTTGTTGGTCAAAAACTAGAAGCTGTTGATAAAAAAAATCCACAACTTATATGTTGTGCAACTGTTGGTGCCGTGAAAAATGATCAGATACATGTAACTTTCGATGGCTGGAGGGGGGCTTTTGATTATTGGTGTAAATATGACTCTCGGGACATATTCCCAGTTGGTTGGTGTGCAAGAGCAGGTCACTTATTGCAGCCACCTGGTCAAAAAAGTGCTACAGCACCTTCTAGGTAAGAAATTAAATTTGAGTAAACAAAGGTTATCCAGATATTAAATAAATCTGACTCAATTAGCTCACTGCTATAGTTCTCATATTATTAGATTGTGCTGATATTTCAAATATAAGACAATTATTAACTTTACCCATTTCATATTTGTAAAATGTTATGATATTTAAAAATATAAATAAAAAAACAGTTTTGCAAAAAAATTTAAATAATGATAAAAAAAAACCCCAATATTTAAGTTCTTATCATTTATAATATAAATTTCAGATTTAAATTGCGTCCCAGTGGTATCCCTAACCCAGCTTTACCAGAAGGGGGATCGACTGGTACAGGCAATGCAAATGGAGCTAATACTGTAACTCCATTAGCAAATGTTGTTTTACGAATCCATAATAGTTGTTCTGGAGGGAATGCTGCCTTACCATCCTCCATCACCGGTGTCGGTGCTTCAGGTGTAGCTGAAAACCTAGTTAAAGAGTTACTTGTTACATATACAGATCCTCAAAAACTCACTAGAGCAATACTTACTGCCTCTAATAGCTATTCAAATAATACTAATGTACAGGTATGTGTACACTTCATACTTAATTTATATGAATACTTCACGGTTATCCATTAAATAGTTTATACATGGTGATAAAATTAATATTTTTAATAAGCTATGCCATTACTTCTAGTGTAAAAGTATAAGATTTTGTTTGATAGATTATAAATCAATCATGGTTCATAACAGAAATAATATAATTATTACAGGTATCAGTTGGCAATAAGAATTACCCAGTTAAAGTGCCTCAGGATTTATCAACAGAAGATTTAAAGAACTGGTTAAAATTAGTGTGTAATGGTATTGGGTGCTGTGTGGGAATGATAGAAATAGATACAGGTGAAGCTGCAGGACGGCCTTGTACACTGTGTGGTGAATCTACCTCAAATACTGTCACATCTGCAGTTAAACGACCTAAAAGTGTAAGTAAATGTTAACACTACTTAGCTAATAGAAGTGGATGATAAAATTTTATTAATTCATTTCAATATTGTTATATTTGTTTGGTATCAGAGTAATAAATCAGAGTAAGAATTAAAAGTTATACTGTTTAGAAAGTATGCACTTTGTGTTTTTAATATTAGCTCTATTGTCGTTAAAATGTTATTATACCATCATACTCACTATAGGAAGACGTGAAGTCATTCATAATCATATTATACTTTTTTATTTTCTATTATGTTCTTCTATTGTTAGCTTTTAGTTGTATCAATTTGATACATTTTATTTCGAAAATTCTACATATGTGTGAGAAAGCACTAAGTAAATTTTTTGGAGGGGACAAGAAAGTATCTAACTAGTAAGTTAGATAAAAATTTTGAAAATACCGTAAAGTAGTCTGAAGTTTTCTACAACGAAAAATTAATTATAAAAATAATTATAATTGAATTGACACTATCAAGATTTTTTTATAGCTCAGTTTTTTGTGTTTCGTGGCAAAATAGTTAAGTAGAATATTTTTATTTCAATGTAATATTTTTTTAACACTAAATGTTTTATTCAACCATTTTTTTTTATTTTTTAAAGTAACTACTTTCAACCATCTCACCATATTGAGTCTTAACTAAACATTATAACGTGTTAGTAAAATGACAAAATTTATTGTTAGTAGTTTGAAAAACTTATTAAATTGAAATTTTAGGAGTCGCCTCGACTCGTGTATCCTACTAATATTATAATTGCGAAAGTTTGTGAGTGTGTGTGTATGTTTGTTACTTCTTCACGCTCAAACGGGTGAACCGATTTTGAAAAAATTTTGTGTACAGGAAGATGACATCCAGGAATAACACATAGGCTACTTTACATCCCGGAAATCCGCGGGTAACACCACTGGGTGCAGCTAGTATATATGTATATAATACCCATATTTTTCAGGAGTCACCAACTCCATGCACTAATGGTGATTCCGGCTGTAAGCTGGCTCGTGTGTCTCCCGAGCGTCCTGAGCCCGCGTCATCAACGACGTGCGCCCCCCCTCCCCCCGCCCCGGCCGCCGCTCCCGCCGACTGGTCAGTGGAGGATGTCATCGGGTTCATTGCTGCAGCCGACCAAGCACTTGCCGCTCATGCTGATCTATTCAGGAAGCATGTGAGTCTTGCTTGAAATTAGCTAACAATCTATTTATTCATTTATTAGAGGAAGATTTATATTTGGGGCAAATTTTTATTTGAATGACGGAAATCTTGAGACTTACTCTAAAACTTGTATGGCCACTGAATCTGAACTGCATTGCATAGTTCTATCAGTGTAGTTCTGGGATCAGGGTTGGGATCGTGATTGGGATTGTGATGAAAGGTATCCTATGTCCTTCTCTAGGGTTTCATCTATCTCTATATAAAAATTCATTAAAATCGGTTTAGTGGTTTAGGTGTGAAAAGGTAGCAAACAGACAGAGTTATTATTGCATTTATAATATTAGTAGGGCTTATAATTTATAAACAATACAAAAAATTTATTAACTTCTTTAGGGCAAAATGATAAACTACTTGACCATCATGTTGATAAGTTATATATTAGACATATATTGGAAGTTTTATATTAGTAATAAGTAAATGTTTTAATAAGCAGTAAATATTCTTAACTTTTATTAGATTTCTTTAATATATCTGACACTGTATAGAATTTTATATAGCTTGTTTAATTTTAACATAGTTTTACTATTATTTTTATTAAAAAATGTCTTATTATCAGAAAATTGTGATTTATTATTATGACCTATAAAGTGTGTATATTTTCAGTCGTTACAATTTAATTAAAATTTTCCAGTAGGTGTGTATTTTTAAATACCAAATATTTAACATTATTTTGAACCTATACTAATAATAAAATTACTGTACTGATCTAAAATAACATCCATGAATTTGTGGACAAAACATCATTCACAGATATGAAATATACAAAATATTAATATTAGCATTTTTTTTTATTTCAGGAAATAGATGGCAAGGCACTCTTATTATTGAACTCTGACATGATGATGAAATACATGGGTCTGAAACTTGGTCCTGCCTTAAAAATATGCAATTTGGTATCTAAAATAAAGAATCGTCGACATTATAGCACCTAGCTTATGTAGAAACGGCTTCACTGTCTTGAAGTCGTAACTTTTATGAATTTTTTTAGCTTTGGCTTATAGTATTCCTATTGTTGCATTTTCACTTAACACTATACATCGCAAGCTTTCGTTATTAGATATTGAATCTCACCTAATTTTGATTACATTAGAACCACAAAGGAGGTACAAAAGTACAAAATTTAATATGTAATAAGGGTGGTTAATCTGTGAGGTCATTCTGCAGATTAATTTGCTAAAAGTGCTTCAACTAAGATAATTTCATAAAAGTATTGGAGAGAATCTGTTTTGGTATAAAATGAGATATTTTTTCTGTTCACCTATTATTATAATAACTAGTAATATTAAATGCTGTTTGAATTTTCAAATGTAATTACTATTTCCTGTAAGATAAATTATAGAATAGTCATGTAAATAAGTATTTCCATTGAGTGAACATGCATTTAATGTAGTTTGTACTCATAATGCAGTATATCATATATAATTAAGTCTTGAGAGTTGTTAAACATTTCACTTTATTATTTGTTATTTCTTATGTACATATTTTAATGAATTGGCTAGTCGTTTACAGAATAATGCTAAAGTTTGATACTTGATACATAAGCCCACACAGTTATTTTTATTTATTTTAACAAGTATTTCTTTGTATAAATCAATTTACATGTAATGTTTGGTCACACATAAGATTTTAATTATTAGCTGTGTCGACGTTTGTATCAATAAACAAATAGAAAATTTAGAATATGAACAGAAATTTTATTGTAGATTAGGTCTAGTGCCTTTCAATAATTAGAAGTACTTCCCTGCCGCGTAAAGTCCAAATACATAACTCCAATGACAAGTCTACTTAATATAAATAACTGTTTAATATACATATTTTATATTTACAAACTGTGAATATATACGATTTACAGTTTTATATAACGGATATCTCGTTTTGCCGCCAAGTGCCCGTGTCAGCATTTCGTATTATTAGTGATGTTCCTTGTTTATCGATGATTAATATATTGACTTCTCACATAATATGTTTTTATATCATTTTATATAATTGGATATAATTTTTGCCATTGGAAGGGTTATTGTAACAATCTAATGTTTCATGTGATATTTCACTGTTATTTGTTATAGTGATATAGAAGTAAAAAAATATATAATGAAATTATGTTGCTATGTAAATTTAGTGATATTTTAAGTTGATGCATGACAACTACTATGTGTAGAGACGTTTATATCAAATCCATGTTGCCTTTATTGTTGCTGTAAATATATTATATGTGATTTGGATCTAAGGTTATTTTAGTGGGTTTAATCAGTTAGGATATTTAGAGCACACGGATTTTTGAGTTTTCATTTCGTGGTATTATTAAAATGCACTTAATAATTTAGTATGTTCCTTTGATTTTCAGCTTTTTATTTCATTAATTTAAAGATATTAATTTTAAATGAAAATATTTTTATTTTTTTTTATAAAGAAAGATAGTGTATGTAGCAATAAATATTGTGGTATATAATATTGTATGTATTTATTGTTCCAGAGAATATAATAATAAATTTGTATGAGTCTGTATATAGTATATAGAATAAAAGTGAAAATACTATCACTTTACAAAGCTATTATTTTATTACGGTAGAATTTTTAATAATTTTAATATGTACATAGCTGAATAATTCGAGACAGATGTGTATAAATAAAATAAAGTCAAATAGAAAATGCGTTGTATTATTTAAAATTATAGGGTAGAGAAACTTCAAATAATTATAATGACTAATACATTCTTGGTAGATTAAGTAATCATGAAGTAAATTCAGTTTAAAATAGTGATACTCTTCATTCCTTATAGGATGTAAATAACTTGTTTATTTTGTTCTATAAAACTAACTACTTTTGTTAGAAAGTAATTTAAAAAAAAAAATGTAAGATGTAAAGTTTTAAGCCATTTATAATATGAAGGAGTGCAGTCTTGTATCTTTAAACAATACTTGTCTGCCTAGTCATAAATATTTCATTATTAAACACTTAAAATGCTTTCACCTCAAAAGCTGTTATCCTATGTATTACAATCAACAATAGTAACTAGTTCGTCTACGCTGCATTAACTATTTAGGTATTTAACTAAACTTAGACATATTAAAAAGCATTCCCTTAAAAATGTACGAATGTTTGTTTCTAATTGTTTGGTTCTAATCACCCTTTCCGCCTCTGACAGAGTATGAAATTTGATGAGAGTGCCTCCGATTTGATGTTATATAGAAATAAAACATGGCAGTCAGTCAATAATGATCGGTAATAAACTGGATGAAATTTTAATAATTTCAAGCTTCTGCACCGTCTTCACAGTGAAGTAATTATTTCAGTTCTACCATTAAGACAGATCGTTATTGATTTTGAGGTTGCTCAAAAGAATCCAATAAGCAGTCTCATTCACATTTCTTTACCTTGTTCCCTTGATAGACGGGAAGAAATTTATATTTTTATAGTATTATTAGTATAAGGTACGTCTAAAATGCATGTCTTACTTAATTCACTTTTCGATACTATGAACAAATTTTAATTAATTTATTTATTGACACCAGATGGCGCTGGTCGAAATTCATGCAATAAAGATCAATATGTATTACATCTCTCTTTCAAATTATCAAATTCTTTACCAGGCATTTGTACAGAAGTAGTCATATATGGTAAAATAACTGGTTTTTACTAAATGCATGTTTATGTTTAAAAGATACGTATGAAAGTGACAATTTCAATACAGGGTACAAGTCGTAAACAATTTTTTTCAATATCTTGGACTTGTGCTACTATTTTTTTAACTATCTGTCTTGCTTTTTAAAATAAAGAGTCAACTGAATGTTACACACGCAGCCGACGTTCGAAACAAATGGTTGGATTCCATCACATACAACACTTGCTTCATTTTTCACTGCTGAACATCAACATTGAAAATTACTTATCGATGTAATGGAGCAGATTCTTTGTATTATAATAATAAAGTATTATAGTATGTTCCAGGACTAATAGTATGAAAATGGAGCTATATAGAAAATTAATATGACTGTATAGAAATTATTTCACTCAAATGACGATTCCGTACAACCGATATCACCGAACAAATACAATAGTTCTCGATATAAACATATAACCTTAACATGTAGCATTGATCAAATTTTCACAAAATTGTTAAATGCTTTGAAATTTTATTTGAACATATAAGATATATCCCGTAAATATTAGATATATATACACTAATTTAAATCTTTCATTGAAATTACAAAATAAAGAAGTAATATTTTATTTAAATATAAAATAAAAACTTGGAATAGGTACTATATATAAGATATTTTTTATTAATTTTATGTCAATTATATATTAATCATACTTGTAAGTATTTTAAACTGAACTTATTTACTTTTAAATCTTTATATTCCTATACAATTTAGGTATGTGTCGTGAATCATGGAAACTAATCGAATAATTTAGTTAATCATTGAATTACATCTTTGCTTACTTATATTTTTTTGCTGTATTCAATGCCTTTTCACTATTCAAACCATAAAAAACATAGGTAACATTCGTGTTTCAGTTTTTTTTTTGAGTTTTAGTTACATACCTAAATTATTCATATTAGCGTGTAGTAGACACGGATGACGGTGATTTTCTTGAATAATCATATAAATAGTATGTAAGATAATAGCGGTCAGATCATGAGATATTATGATATAGTCCTTATGACATATATAGTGAAGCAATACTGTGATGGTTGAAATCGGCTTAATATATTTTTCGAATAATGGAATAAAAAGTTACCTCTATTTGACTTTGTTTCACTTTATTTAAATTATATGACATACCAAAGATGTAAACAAAAAATTAAAATTTAAAGGAAAATAAGATTATAATATATTTAAATTCATATTTCGCCATAGATTAAATCTTTTTAGAGACACGACTATAGAAGAACTTGCTAAATTGACAGTTAAGTATAATTTGAACAGTTTTGCTCAAAATATTTATTAGGCGTTGATGCAAAATCACTGGAATGAATGAAAGGAATAAATCGTTGGTTGGTAAGTTTGAAAATAAGATATCAAAACATCAAATAATTCCAAACGTATTATTAACGTAATATATGTTTTCTATGAATTTCATGACCACATAATGGCTTTTGTGAAGAAATACGAAAAACAAATAAAATTATAAATGGTGTCTGTTGTCAATTCAATGGGGACACTGCTATTTATATAATTAATAATATATATATCTACATACGTTTATAATGATTACAACTATTAATGAATAAACCTAAGTGTTTATTCGGAGTTAAAATGTTTAAGAATTTGTTCTACGAAGCAAAAAACTTCTTTGGCAGCAGAAATTATTTTAATTATTTGTGTCCTTTTAGGTTCACAACCAAATCAAAATGTACCAAAGCCGGATGTTATAGAAACTGCAATAGGATCATTTGGGAAATTTCATTATTTATTATTTTTTTTTGCAAGTTTATCAAAGTATTCTATTGCATTTAATCAAATGGCAATAATATTTTTGGCTCCAAAAACAGGATATACTTGTGAAGGATCGCAAATCAAGGGGACTTGCCCCTGTGACAAACCAGTGTATGATACATCTGTATTCAAAAATACTATTATAATGCAATGGCATCTAATATGCAAAGATAAATGGTTGGCCAGCTTATCGCAAACATTGTTTCAATTAGGAACATTATTGGGCAGCATACTCTTTGGAATGGTTTCTGATAGGTACGTTTATATTATTCGATTTTTTTTAGTAACGACTTATTTCTATCAAAATAAATACATGTAAAGATTTTATATTAAATCAAATACATTGTTACAGACTAGAATGTCTTCGTTTAAACTTGATTTTCCCGTTTCTAAAACACATTTTATGACCTGTTTCTTCTGTTAAAACTGTTATATTATCATCTTTAAGATGTTTTAGAGACACTTTCTGTAATTTAATAATGATTATGAGTTTTTAAGAAATACAGAGCTATAATCAGTTGCTATAGGTATTGAACGAAACAGTATCACCATATTATATTATTTTGAATGGGTCGTCACATATTTAATTTACGTAGTATATTTGTATACATATTACTACATAAACGTTAAATGGTTTAATGATATTTCTTTTCCCATTGCAGATTTGGAAGGAGAAATCCGATGTTGTTATTCGCAGTCATATTACAACTTGTGGCAGGAGTAGCCGCTGCCTATGCACCCAGCTACGGATTATTCACCTTTATTCGTTTGCTTGTTGGGATGGCGGTTGGAGGAACAATGGTCATAGGATTCGTCCTTTTGATGGAATATGTAGGGACGAAATGGAGAGTTACTGTTTCATCTCTTTATCACGTACCATTCAATATGGGTCATATGTTGCTGCCAGTTTTTGGATACTTCTTCAGAGATTATGTAAATTTCCAATTGGCAATATCTGTACCCTCAGTTATTCTTTTGGTGTATTTTTGTGTTTTACCAGAGACAGCAAGATGGTTAATAGCTGTAAAACGTACCGACGAGGCTATTCAACTTTTGGAACGTATTGCGAAAATGTAAGTAGGTACACATAATAATTATAATATACATATATTACTCAAGAATCAAGATCAATATTTATCACTATTTTTAACATGACAGCAATGTTAAGCTAATATTTAAATTAGACGGCGGAATGAAAAAGATTCGGAAGTTGCTTGTTTGACTGTTGGAATTCTGTTCGAGTCGATGATTTTTCATTTTATATTTAATAATTTACATTTTAATTTAAATAAAGAGACTTGGTTTTTGTTCACAGAAATAACCGACCAACAGAAAATATTCGAAATGATATAGAAACCTATCAACAACAATTAGAGAACAATAAACTTAAAAAGGGAACTTTATTGGATCTTTTCCGGACTCCAAATCTAAGAAAGAATATATTGGCTATGTCTTTTAACTGGCTAACTTGCAGTTATTGTTTCTACGGCGTATCTCAATATGTCGGGCAGTTGAGTGGAAATATTTTTTTGAATGTAGCAGCAAGTGCTGGTGTTACGTTAACTGGAACACTTTTGTCCATACCCTTGTTAACTTTTTTTGGACGAAGGATATTATTAATAGTGCTTAATTTTATTTGTGCAATATGCTTGTTAACTTTAGCAGTATTTCCTGACAGTTCATTTTCAGTCTTTTTTGCCACTTTTGGTGTTGTCATCAGTTTTATAGTTTTTGTATTAGTTTACTTGTATTGTACCGAACTATTTCCTACCGTCGTTCGTAATGCTGCTTTAGGATTTTCTTCTATGTCGGCAAGAATTGGTGCAATGATGGCACCTTTCGTAATAGATCTCGATGATTTCGCTATTTGGCTGCCACCATTAGTATTTGCTCTATTCCCATTTGTGGCTTCCCTGATCGCATTTTTACTTCCAGAAACTAAAGATCAAGAGCTAATGACTACAATTGAGGAAGGAGAAAGATTTGGTAAAAAATAATAATCTTCAGCGAGCAATACCTGAGACTTAGTTATTAATAATATTTGTACATAATACTGATATTTTAGAAAAATTATTGATGAAGAAATTTATAAGCTGTACCCATAATATATACAAGTAACTGTATATTTATTAAAAGTTGGGTCTTGGGTGCGTTTTGCTATTTTGGGCCTATTAGTAAAAATGTACAGAAAGATTCAATTAATGTAAAGGGGATTAGATGTCAAGGTGTTGTAAAAAAAATCTATGACGTGGGTCATATTTCTTGTAAATAGAACTTTTACAAAAAAATGAAAACTTTGTCGATGAAATATGAGACGATATGGTTTTAAGTAAATTGTAAAAAATATACATAAAATGTTAAAATAAACGTAAATAACTATATTGAATATTTACGTTAGTTTTGTTTATAGATTTATTGTTAGTTAATGTTTTTTATTAATAAATCAATGTTTTTTTTAATCTTAAAATTTTATGTCCTGATTTTATTATTTTATGTTGACAAAAATTCGTTGCTCACAAATATCCTGTTTTTATTTATTCATAGATGATCCTTAATAACAACATATTCATTTTTCATTTCTTCAAATGGCAAATTATATTTATTTTATAAAGTTTACTTACTTTATAAAGTTGGACCAAACAGTATAATTGCTAAAAAAAATGGTTGTCAGGAAGAGTAAAACAAATTGTGAATAAGAAATCCATCTAGGATGTTAATCATCCATATTTTTCAATTTTCCCTGTTCTCTATAGAAATGATAAACATTAAACGTTGCAAAAAAACATTCATTGGTTTTTCGAATTTACATTTTATTAGGTTACGGTGATAAATATTTTTTTCGAATTACAGTTCTGTCTTAAATATTTTGCAATTAAGAGCACCCACAATGTTCTGAATAGTAATTATTATCAGATGTGTATAATGTGATCGGGATATAAATTAATATGTTATAACATATTAATTTACATACATTATAATGTATACATATTGCGTTAGGGATTACTATGATTTTGAACGTTTTAATGCCAGGACAAAATAAATAAAATAGAGAAATACTTTAATTCTCTTCTTACTTCCTTACATTTCCGATCAGTGGAATATATTTTATAAGTATAAAACTACAATAACTAAAAGAATGTGTGTGACTGTCTTATAATATTTGGGAATCATTGCAAAAAAGTTAAGCTCCATCAAACCCTTATAACTTTACCTATCCTATCTACAGGTTACTTATATAATTTAATTAATTTATGTAAATCAATGTTATTCTGCAAAAAGAAAATCAAGTTTAAATATTGTTGTGTTATGTTTAAGCTACTTATTAATTTTAATTTTTAATATTAATAAAGGGGTATATTTCTTTGATTTATTTTATATTCGTGTGCGGCTTCAACATTCTCCTTTGGAATGGTTCCAAAAGGATCTATTATACAAGAAATTAGAGTTTTTTAGGACACTACTGTTTAGATGCCTCCAATGTTTTTGGCATCATTGTATTACATCCAATAATCGCTTTCATGATAGACATTTAGTTAAGAAGTTTTTAACACTTCGCATCTAAATGTCACATATTAAAGACAACATTTATAAAATGAGAAATTTTGTTAAAGAGTATAAGGAGAGTATTTTAAATAATGCAAAGTTGTAGATACTTATTTAAATATCCCTTGATGTAGATTATTTCTAAACCAATAAACTTATTTTTGCAAAATAATAATACCTAACTAAGGATAAGAGCTATAAAAATAAATATGAAAATGCAAATTATAAATTACTTTATAAATGTATGATGGCAACTATTATAAAAGTTTCATTTAAAAATCAATCACTTAAAAGACTTTACGCCTGACTAGATTGATTTTAACTTAATCGTAGTCAATGTAAGCCCTTTAATACTTCTCTCCATGAAGTCGAAAACTATGACAAACATTTGTGATAGCAGTTCTTCACACAGAGAGGGCCAATGCTTTGTAGAGACAAAAAGGATTTCTCACCTTTGCATTACTTTTGCAAGAACCGTGCGTTTCTTTTATTTGCCTCAGGCCTTCGATTCAATGAACTGGTGGTATTATTATAGGTGGTAGAGCCTAGCTGTAGTTTAGTTACTACAGCTCGAATATGGGCTGGCTCGACCGGGGAAGTACCACTCTCTCACAGAAGATCGGCGTGAAGTAGTTAATAATGACTGCGTTTCGTCCGATGAGTGAGAGAGCCGGTTGCCCTGTCCCTGTTCCCAACCTTTCCTTATATTTCCTTATTTCCACCCCTCCCTTTTCCCCCCCAAGTAAGGTTGGCAACGCATCCGCAACATCTGTGTTGCGGATGTTCATGGGCGACGGTCACTGCTGACCATCAAGTGGGCCGTCTGCTCGTTTGCCACTATTTACATAAAAAAAAAACTGCCCAGATTTAAGATTAGAGGACATAGGATTTCTAGCCGTAAGAGTGTAATAAGGACACTTTCTGAAAAATTTGTCTCACAAAAAGTCTCAATTTAAAAAAAGTTGTAGGTGTGAAATTTTAAAGACTTTTTATTTTGAGGAATCTCAAGAATAATTATTTTGCAATCAATTGAGCATTACACAAAGCGATGCTTTTTAGAGAACATTACACTATGGAAGGATGTTATCACTCCAAATGTACCTGCTGTCAACGACCACTAAAGAGTATCCGAAACATGTCTACTACTGGCGGAGTTAAGTTATGTGATATGTTTGAAGTAGACAATAAAGATATCTAGATACCACAAGTGCTTCAATAAGTAGTAAGACCCATTTTATTAAATTTAAACGATCTAAAAATAAGTTTTAGTTTCATTTAAATTTTTTGACTTAATAGTTATTGGTATCTACTTTTGTACTCGAATTTATCTTTATGACTTTAATGATGACATAATCAAAATGTATAAACATTCGCACTTTGTCTGTTTTGATATTTCTTTATCATTCTTACACTGCTTTCTCTAATTTATCAGTGTTGCCACAATATATATTTCTCTACCATATCCTTCTATCAACCGTCATATCTAAGTTCACGCAGTGCTTGTACGTATCTTATCTGATACAATCCATCCACACTTTCTGGGCCTTCCTCTACGCTAGTATCCATTTATTACTTTCAGAGGGTTGCCTTCCCATCGTGGTAATCTGACGTCTTTGAGATGTATAGACGATTTTTGACCAGAAAGCAGTCTGAGACTGATAAATGAATAGTGAAACATTACTTTTTATAATCCTGTTTAATATTCTCTTGAAAAACTGTGTTGTTAATAATCAAAATGGTATTTTATTCAATATATATTTTGTTAAAACTTCTCACCTTGATATGCAAATATTTGTATAGTACATCCATACGCATATACAGGGTGACTGGTGAATTACTATCAATATTTAAGGAGAATACTCGGTACATGATTCTCATTCGAATGATGTAACAAAAATAAGCACTTAATTTTTAACCAAATTTCCGTATAAATAAATGAAGTGTGGACACGTTCCAAGTGTTCCAAGTGTGGACGCGTGCGGCGGCGTGCTGATTCAACACCACGCCGCCGCACGCGTATGTGTGTGTGTGTGTATACCTAATCTGTAGGGTGTTCACACGATGCGTAATTAATTACATAACTTTTGGTTAACTTTACTTAGAAGTTTATTAATATTTATGTTATATTAATTTTTATTTTGTCATATATGATCGTCAAATATCACGTCCTCAAGTATCGATAGTAATTCACCAGTCACCCTGTATAAAAAGATAAAATAATAACCTAATTTAATATCTAATATATATGTAATATTTTAACATCTATTAGGTACATATAACGTTCTCATAGTCTTCTAAATATGCAATATACACTATAGATGTTTTACGAAAAAGAAAAAATTGAGATGAGAAATTTCTGAGCATCACATGAATGAGAGTTAAAAAAAACTCAGTAATAAGTTAGAATTAAACCATGAAAGATATCATAAAAGTGCCAACAACGGGCTCGCAATTACGGAAAAATACATTAAAACTTTATCATAATAAGATTTCCTAGAAAAAAACTAAAAAAAAAATATTATAGTAAAATCTTTCTACATAATATTATCTTACAGTAAATTACGACACAGAAAACAATCTCGATGAAGCCAACCTTTTGGAGTCTGCTTTTATGAATTGTCCTATGTACTTGCAAGAAGACTAGACGTTTAAAATTTTTAATTTTAATAAATTCATTGAATCCTGATACCATATCTTATATTAAAAGACATTTTTCTGAAACAAATACGTTACAAGATAGAATTTAATAAATTGCAAACAATAACCTGACTAGATATGATAAATAAAACTGGCAGATGAGATAAGATTTAAGAAAAATGAATGTCATGTCAAATTGATATGTTTAAAGGTAACGGAAAACCATGAAGTTGCTATAGGATTTTTTTAGATTATAAGTATTTAGTAATCTATATTAATAAAACTATAGAAATCATCAGTTTTTTGTTATTAATACATTTGGACATTTCCATTATTATTCATAATTACATACAACTTTTTAAATCAGAAATAAATTATCTACAGAAGAACAAAGGTCGATGTTAGAATACAAGCTATAACTTTGTACTTTAAAATATTTACGTATAATATAGTTTAAATAAAATATTACTTATATTTCTCCATAGGTAGTGTTATCTAAAAATGTAAAGTATCGCAATTACCTATAACTAGAGTAATTTAATAATTGATTACGTAATATAAAATAATATTACTATTAATAATGTAATTTATGGAGATATAAATGGTATTATCCACTTTTTAATAAGTTCTCATACAGAATTCATTTACCTAAGGATTATCTCCGGTATTTTTTATATGTCTTAAATTATTATATTAACTATACTATAGTCATACTTATGAAAACTATAGTCCATTTTTAATCGTAAATGAAAATGTGAACGAAATAACTTCCGATAATAATGATTGATTGATTATTTTCTCTAAGA